CAATTCAATAAATATAAAAACATAACAACAGTATTAAATTACAATGTTAATGTGCAATGACCATGACTGGTAACGAGTCACTTACCGTATGAGTATATCCCACGAACCAAGTCTTCCCGAAGCTTCATATTATCGAAAGTCGTCAGTACTTCGACATCTTCGCTGGTTTCGAACTCGACGTGCGATAAATCTTCGGTCAGTAGTCCCGTACGTCTGACTGCCATTTTGTAAGTTATAGTATTTACTTACTGTATTCACGGATAAAAATGATCAACGACCAGTCATCTGCTAAAAACACAATATAAAAATGATTGTATCGTCAACGAAAAGTTGAAAAGCGTCGGAGACAGACCCACAATATTCTAAACGTTATACAGTGTGCCAGTGTATAATCGATTGTTTGGCGAAAGGGGACAGGAAAATGAGGTATTGTTAACAACAACATTTTAGCGTGTGTTCAAGGTGATAAGAAGTAACAAAGACGTGACCTGGTTACCGGTTAGAATATGATGATGGCTTGTATACCAATACAATTTGCCGCTAAAAGTTTGAAATTCAAATTTAATACGTACGGTATCGGTATGAAAAATGTGGACATAGTGTGCGACTACTGGAAGTAAACTACACTTAATCAGAGACACAAAATATCATTATTATTTACTGTAGCGAATCGTCAAGATATTGTAATATACTAATATACAGTATGTACTAAAAGTTCTATATTACCCTAATAAGTATCTCCTCGGTTAATTTTAACTAAATTTGAATGTATTTTTTTTTCAATTAAATGAACATTTTAAAAATCAAATCGCATTAGTAGCTAAGTTTTTAATGTCTTGAGTTATTTTGTGAACTATTTTATTAAATTAAATTTTTCTTATCTATATTAATGTTGAGAAAACAGCATTAAATAAATTGATACGTCATAGGTATGTTGGGTGGTAATGGACTATTGAGACGGACTGTTAGCTTATCCTTGAAAATTGAGATAAAATGACCAAATTAGAAAGATTTTTAAAAAAATTTCTTACATTACTTTCAAAATAATTATTGCATACCTACATGGTATATAGTAGAATTGTTTACTCATACATTATAGACTGTAGTGTACCTATAATATATTTAAATAAATACCTACGTTTTATTCATATATTAATTTTAAGATAAGTATTCATAATAATACCTCCATTATATATGTATATATATATATATACATATTTTATTTAAAAATCAAACAAAAATTCTATTACAGTTAAGGTATTATTCTTAATTACCTACATCACACATAACCGATCAAAAGATTTATTGGCATATTTAATCGGAAAATCATAATTTCTAAGTTCTCATTTTATAAACTTAAATTCCTATGATAATTATTTAATTTAAAATTCTTAACCAAGTATAAGATAACATTTATGAATATATTAATTATGTACAATAAATAGTTAGGTATTTTAGATTCAAGATTCTAATCTATTACATTTTTTTAATTACTATAAAATAAATATGATGTAGGTACACAATAATAATAAAACTCAATTAAAATATATTTGTAATATAAATATTTTAAAAATTGAAAATTGTTTTTCTAATGTTAATAAAATGTAGAAAGACTTATTGTAGACAATATACCATCTAACAAGTGATAAGAAACTTATATTTTAATAGTTTTTTTTATAAATATTTACTGTACAAATTTCAAATTGAGGTAAATACCGCAAGTCACAACCACACATTACAGGCTGGTGTACGAACCTTAATTTGGTCCTAAATATTTTATGCGGCTTTTATATTATAGAAGATAGTTTAGTCTATACTCTATTTTAGATATTTCCTTTTAACAGTCTTAACATTTTTTATAGACATCATTCAAATATTTTTTCACATTATTATAAAATGATTCAAAACTATGGTATAGACTCATTTTGTTATATATTTACAGAACACCTAAAGATATGAACACAATTTTTTAAATCTAAGTTTTCAATACAACAGTTTTAAAAATTGTAAATTGTCATTAATATTATTGATTAAGTTACAAGCACTCACACACCAAGTAGATATGGACGAATCCATTTTAATGCAGTTTCAGGATAAGAATAAATTATTTTACTGATATATTAAAATAGCTAAAAGCTTTAAAATATTGGTTGAAAACAAAAATGGAATTGTTAAATTGTATAAAAAATACCGTTACCATCAAGTATAAATAGTTAGGTACCTATACGTATACCTACCTATATTATATGATTACCATGTGTAATATTATATTTTAATAATAAGATCGAGCTTGCTTTTTATTTTAATTATTTTACTTAAAATTAAAATTTCTATAACCTTTAATACATTTTAACACATGAATTGTGAGGTTTTAATTTGTTTGGGGCCCGATGTGCAATGGATACCTTGCAGCTTACACACCCAGTAGTTCAATAGTGTTGAAACACTGATTGAGTTGTGTTTTAGTACCCATACAGTATTTAACATTTAACCATATTATAAATATTGTATTGACTATACTATATTATATTTTTCTTACAATAGATGCTACTATACTAACTATGAATAATTTAAATTTGAATGTTGTATAATATAATTTATTAAACTAGGTGATGGGTACAACTGGTACAAGGTTTAGGATGTAAATATGTAAATATGTATATTGTTTCACAATATAAACATAAAACTTTTGAACATTGGTTTATATATAGGTATATATTTGTTTCAATTAATGATAAGCGTGCAATGGAAAAAAAATATGTTGCTGCATGTATTTAGGATATGATTTTTGGTCAAATATTCAATGTTCTGGAGTAAAATATAGATGTGATTATCTAAAGTTGATGTAAGTCGAGGGAGGTGATAGCTTGTTCGGTATGGGTATTTGATTGAACCTGGAATAAGATAATTTTGTGCCCTAGGGCCTAGGCCAAACAATTTTGGTAGCCCATAAACGTTATCAAAACATTGGTGCCTTACCGCAAATACATTTATTTAAGAGACAAAAATTTATACTTGAATACTTTTTAAGAACAAAAAAATTTTTTTACAGATAATTTTTACTTGCTTCTTAGAAGCAAACCATAATTATTTATTATTTTTTTTATTTATGTTAAGTTAGCCAGTCTATATAAATCTATCGACCGATTTGTCTCATTTTTATTTTTAAATCATTGTAATATTCTGAATGAGGTTTTTATGAAAGAATAATGGAAAAAGCTGGCCAGGAAAATGGAATGTATGTGAAAAACTGAAAGGTTTTTCAATGGTATAAATGGTTGCCATTGGTTACATATTATATAATAATAGTAAAAAATTCATTAACTGTTTCAGTATACTTTTTTTTGTTATAAGTAGAAAAACTTGTGTGGAATCTTCCTTTAAATGTGTAATGTTAACTATATGTAAAGAAATTTTTTTAAGAATTTTGTCAATATTTGAATTTTATGTGCATGTAAAAAATAATCGTGCCTATGTATCTTTAATATTTTTGAACTTCCATTTAAGAAACTTATAAGGAACCTTGCATTACATTTTTAAACATTATAGTTTATACTAGGTGAAAATCCACAATAATTTAAAACAAATTTTCAAACCTTCAACATTTTTCATGGCAATATAAATTATTGTTCAAAAAAAATTTAAATATATTGAAAATTGTACCATTTAAAGAAAATGCTTGTATAAATATTTAGTGAAAGTTATAAGGTTCTAGGAAATAGGAATATTAGTTTAGATACACCAAAAAAATAAAATCGATTTTCTCAAAAATTGGTTTTGCCTAAAAATGACTGTTTTTCAGTAAATTTTAGGATGTTTACTACCTCAAATGTTGTTGACAGAAAAAAATTATCCATCATTGTAAATACAATACATTTATTGTTTAGCTCAGAATCTAATATTAATAATGTATAAAAACATAATTATTTATAATTTATTAAATAAATAGAATAAATAAGTTAAATATGAATATTTTCAGTCCGGTAAAGGAGAATTGTTCCAAAAAATCAAAATTTATATAAAAAGTGCCTTAATAACAGTAGGTAATTAAATTATCTAAACCAAAAATATGTCCTCAAAAAAATGTATATTTCATCATAATTTAATTGTTATCATTTTTTCGACATAAAATACTATTTTTAAATAGTTATTTGAAGAAGCAGAGATGGGACCTTATATGAGTTATATTAAATTTGCATTGCTTAGAAAGATTTAAATATTATAAATTTTATAAATTTTTAACTACAAAATAGTTAGTGATTTTGATACATTTTCTAAAAATTAGAACTTAAAACATTTATAAAAAAATATTATGACCATGTATTTTCTACATTTTTAAATTTATTTTTGAGTTATTAACGAGAAACACTGTATTTAGTTTTTAATCTTTTTTCCCCAAAAATAAAAATTGTCATACATAAATTAAAAACAAAAAACTAAAATATTTTAAGAATTATTTTACTTTTTTAGATTTTGAACGAAGTGAGGTCATGAGGATGATATGCATAGCGAATGGATAATTTCGTTGTTTATAGGATAATAAATAATGCCTCTTCATTTTTATTTCTGCAGCGATTGGTTTATTTTATTTATAATTTACATTAAGTAGGTCTCACATAATCATACGTTCGCTGCTATGGCGACTCAAGTAATTGTGTATATTTGTCAGTTAAATAATTACCGTTTTCGCCTTATTATAATAAACGCGTACAATATGTACACACTTATAAATACTTGTGTTATACACAATAATATACAAGTAGACAGAAGTGCACAGATATTTTGACTCCGGAATATTGTCCATAAATAATCGACAAGACAGCCATATAGTAGTGCCTGCAGCACGGTACGGACGGATTTGCAGGATAGTTCGGTTCAATAATAAATACCTAATATTGTAAGTACAATATAATATACCGCAGTGACCCGTGACGCGTTTACGCAGGTCAGCCACATATTATTTTTAAATATTGTAACATGAATATTCAACATAGGATATAGAATCTCATCAGCGCTCGGCTCAAACATCACCATGACCGTGGACACGGACACGGACGATTGCGAGGCGACTCAATCACCACCGACGGGCCTGATGCGCGATATCTTCCGGTCGGTTAATAGTTTGATGCCGGTTCCATTCACGGGATGCCGGATCCACATGCTGGCCAAGGCCGAACGGATAGGGTGGCCGGTCACGACGGTTTTAAAGCTGAACACGAACGGCCCCAAGCCAAGCGGCCTGTGGGTGTCGGCTTTGTATGAAATGGCGCAGTGGCAGGGCCTGAACGCGTCCGTCATGACCGACCTGCACCCCAAGTCGGGCAAATGGAACTTCGAGGCTACCAGTCGGTTGGAAACCGGTGCAAACTGGCTGGACGCGTCTCTGACCGGACAGGTGTGCGGATGGACGCGTCCGGTCAAGTTACAGGTCAACTTGGACTACTGGCTTCCGACCAGGACGCTATCTTTGTCCATCGACCCGCTGTTCAAACACTGTGCCTTCCAACTCTTGCAAGTAAACTTATAATCATACGTACTAGATGTATAATGAACGTGGTACAACTTTACATAGTAAATAAAGACATAGAATTTAAGTCCACAAACAAACAAGTCATTTTTAAAGGGTTGAATGTATAGGAGGCTGCTCTTTTGTTACACGGGTTGTCTTTGTGTAAGTAACAAATAATGAAAAACAATTTTAAAAAAGTTTTTAATTTTAAAATTATAGTAAAATACCATTTGCAGTACATATATCAGCAATATATAGGTATATATATATCAGTTATATCTAACCTTCCTTTATTGGCAAAGGGTTACACTTTTTTTTTTTTTTAAATTTTAAATACATCGTTGACGGCATGTCAGCATTCGTAATAAAACTACGTTTAAAAGTAAAAAAAGTATAAAAGTACTATAAAAGTATTAAATTGAAAAATATCGTAATAAAGCCGCCAATTATATATTATATACAAATATAGTATAATGTAACAGTGTTAATTATAGTGTTTTTTAAAACAGTGCTAAGCCGATTTTAATGTGGTCTTACCGTTATTTAAGGGACCTCAAGGAGAAGTTTTTAGTCTGCATACCTTATCATATTTTATCCTATCAACTCTGAAACACAGTTGTATAATATATAAATACATTTTTGTCGCCAGTTTGTCCGGTTTTTACAGGAAATTTTGAATTAAAAGTGTCAACGGAATCACTCACTTGACACAATTGATAGGGTTTAAAGTTTTTCATCGGACGCAGTCAGGTAATACAACTAATAGGGAATGACATAATTATTAAACAGATGTATAAAATATGTATAATACGCATTGTAGTCTTAGCATTTTTAGGTACTGGTATATATATATATATATTTTTTAAATTGTGGTCAGATTTTTGATATTTATTATAGAAAAATTTACTCATCCTTTTTGGATAATTAATTGTGTTTGTTGGCAGTCCGTGACGGATCGGCTGTCACTGGGCGTAAATTTGGCATTCAAAAGAGACACCACGTGCGGCTTCAATGAGTCTCGGTTACGGCCGAATCTGGTGGCCAAGTATGCTGGCCCCAATTACCTGGTCAGCGGTAGATTGAACACGACAAACTGGGCCACCAAGCTGGCGTACTATCATCATTGCACGGACTGGCTGCAAACGGGCACCATGGTTGACCTGAGCCCATCCAGCTCGGTAGTCACTACCCGGTTGGCGTTTCGTATTCTGTCCGACACGTCCATGTTTCGGGCGGCCATCGACACAAACGGCATCGTCAGTAGCCTGTGGGAGAAGCGGCTGGGCGATCGTATGTCCATGTCACTGAGTGCGTTCCTGAACCACGCGATACAGGATAGCTACGGGTTGGGTATCGGTCTGTCATTCGAATGACATGTAATGACGTAATTATGACAATGATTATTATCATCCGAAATCACTTTCATACATTGTTTGGCGGTTGTTTTGGTCGTTTTTACCTTTACAGTTGAATTAGATAACAATAAAATATGTACTTACTATAAATATATATAATTTACCTAGACCTACTTCGATAAATGAGTCGTAAATCGTGTGAAAATCCCTTCAAAAGAAATCAGAATCAATTTGATAACTTTTTGAAAAATATCGTGTAGTCCATGTCCATGGTGCAATTTGGCCCGATAGCATGTCGTTAAGCAAGCATTAAGCTTGACGTTTTAGTCTATAGTGTTTTTGACAAAACTGAGGAATGACAGAATACTAATTTTTAAAAAGTATCTTTTACAAGACTGCTATAGGTATAGGTAGTAGGTACCTACAATATAACACTATTGTTTTGGTTTAAATGTGCAGGTCAACATCTCAATTTGAAATTATTGAAAAAGGGTAAAGTAAATGAGTGAAATGTGTACGGCTTAAACCCCGAATCAATTAACTAATTCGGTTTGACAGTCTGTTGGCGCACCAAAAATGGCGAGACAACAACTCGACGAACATAGTCGTGGCTTTACATGGCAACATGCCACATAATGTTGACATGCCTGTAAAGTTGGACGTTTATTGTGCATTGTAGGTACTACCTACAGTTTTATTCGCATTCAACCTTAATAATTAGGTAGTTACTGACATAATTAGTAATTAGATACAGACGATACAGTAAAGTATACCTGCTGTATCGACTAAAATATTAAATTATTACTTGGTACCTAGTATCACATTAGATGTCAATTATAATATTTTTAAACATTAAGCCACGATGACACGGTACCTATGATGAAAGACGACATACCTACCACATGTTCAAACGTTTGGGAAATCAAGCAATGACAGTACATTATTGACATTTGCAGCAGATCAACGACTGTCGACTGCATATTGTTCTTAAAAACAAAGAGAAGTCGTATTCAATATTATGCAATTCGATGAATGCTTATATAGTTATATAGGATTTGTACTTCTTAGTGTCTCGCAATAGTGGCTACCTATAATTCGGCAGAAACTTATAAGTTATAGTACCTACCTACCTACGCCAACCAGTCTAATCCAAGTCAAACAATTATTAATCTTACGATAATACCTGATATAGGTACCTAAGTTAAGAGTTAAGACAGTTAAGTGAAAGTATATTATCATCTACTCCTTTAAATTCCAATAATAGGATATTCATTGTATGAAAGTAGGTACTACCTATATTATGAGTTATGACCTAGGATTAATAATCGGTATAAATTCATCAAAGTTAGAAGGAAGCAGGCAACATCATTTTATTTTAGAAAACTTTTATTATTAATTAATGATGTAGTATATGTATAGTATATATATATATATATATATAGTTACATAGGTTTGTTTCTCATTTTTAATATTGGAAGTTTCTACTGTCAAACACGGTACACGGAAAGTATTGGTAATTACTTATTAGTATATTATGTAACTAATAATTTACTAGTAGTTGCTTTTACCTACTGATTAGTTCATTAATATTAATCTCAAAGGTAATGTTATTTGCAGACTTGCATTGTCTATAAATGCATAATATTAATGAAAAAAATTAATTGATATAATCTTAATCATTTCAACCTACCCTAGGTAGGTAGTCAACAAAAAATAATAAAACAAGTCCAATGACCAATATATACCTCCATGAACATAAGGGCATGCGGTATACATACTACGTGTCACAAAATTATACTATTAGATTATAATAAGATTGATATTATTCGTACTTTCATGTTTGGTTGTCGGTGGTCCGCTCGGAGATAATTGTTTACCAAAGCCGAGAAAAGCCCTGAACACGTATTTACTGGCCGAAGAAGGCCTCGAGGCTATGCGGCAGCTAAAATGCGTACGGCTGTACGTGCCATACTGCCATTACATAAGATTATATAATTATACCAAAACATCTACGTACGATCAATTAGCTATTAACCAACGTGAAATAAAAGTGGTTTTAGTGCGAATAATATACGAATATCGAAGAATGTATTTTGTATATAGGTACGTACCTCAAACGAAAAATATACGATTATGTATATACACACCTCAAATATAAAATGTATGTATAATGTATATTTTTACCCAAGCGTCGACGAAAAGTGCTACGAATCAATGATCTGCTGTGGAATAATTTTAGTACGAAAAATGTCAGATTATTTATGTACCTATTTACGTATTGTCAACGTAAAATAACCCTATTAGCTATTTCAACGTATATTAAACTATTATTAATTATTATGCGGATAATAACTACGCAAATACATTGTACATTCACTAATGTTATCCTTATTATAAACGTAGATAGTAGGTACGTGCTATGTTTATTGGGATTATTATTTACCAATATAGTCTCATTTTAATAAATTTTTTTATATCAGAAACATGTGTTACCCAAATTTTTGTGTGGAACCATGGGTTATGGAATTTTAATAAATCCTGTTGACACTCCATGAGGTCTAAGTTAGAGAGCCATAATAATAATAAAATATTAAGACTCCGTAGTCTAAGTTATAATCCTTTCGGACATAGGATACAAGTAAATCATAAATATTATAATGTATTTTATGATGTATCTAACGACATCGTTATTTGCCAATTTTAAATTTTATCAATAAAAAAATAGGTAAGTACTTAATAACTAATTTTAAAGTAAAGAACTTTAAAAGTAAGTGCACACTTTCATTAAACTTTTTTTAAGCTTAATAAACAATCATTAATAATTTAACTACTGCTATTCACTAATACATTAAACTTTTTCCTAATAGAATATAGGGAATTTTGATCCTATGTCATGCCAACTTTTGACTATTGATCAACTTGTTTCAAATTTGGCTTTAAAAGAAATATTTAAATGGTTAAAGAAAACGAGTGGGTAAACAGTTGTTGCAAAATTGAAACAGACAAATGAGTACTGTCTATGAATAAAATACAAAAGGTAAAGTTATGAATGATCATCAAAAAACAATGTACAATGTACCTATTTACTTATTTAAAGCTTGAAGTTTTAATGATACAATATGATAAAATCTAGATATAAGTTATAAGTTATATTTATTATTTATATAAGTATGTTAAGTTGATATGATAAGTTAAAATACATAATTTAATTTGCTATTTAAATAACATAGGTATACCTATTTTATAATTCAGTAACTTATAAATTAGTTTAACTACTTCAACCTAATACCATTGACTATTGAGTATAATATATGTATATTAAAATGTACAATCAAAATTTTATGTTAGATTACTATAAAATACAATATATATAAAAAATAAAATTAGTAAATTAAGTATAAATTCAATTAATTTAATTTTTTTATAAATTAAGTATTTTCGAAGTAACTATACTGTACTTAAATTTATTACTTTGGTATAAACGTAGTATAGATCATATGTGATTATTGAATTGTTTTATCATTATCCGTTTATGGGTGAACCTGTGCTGGAGTGTTATGTCTTCACAACATTTTTGTACTTAAGTTGTCTCGGTAGCATTCATCAATGATACACAAAAAAAAATGGTTATTAGTTTGTTGAAGGTTGCCAAAATTTACCAAAATGGGTAATACGATTAATAGTTTGGGAAACTCTGAACTAGCATTACACAGAATAAAGTCTAAGAAGGCATGTATATTTAATAATTAAAATCCGTAGCAAAATTTTTCATAAATATTAAAAAAAGATTAAACCTGAAAAAAAGGCTCCAGTCCTATATTTTCAATAAATATTATTCCAGGGGTGCCAGGAAAAAAGACTAAAGGGGTTCCAATGTATATTTTTTACAGTTTATAAATGTTGCCTTTTCAGTTAAGGCTATATTCAGTAATACTTTTTGTTATACTGATAACAGTGTTATTAAAAATAACCAAAATATTCAATCATGATGTATTATTATGAATGTTATGTATTTAGTTTTCAAAAAATAAAAATAAAAATATTTTTTTCCTACAAATATTACAACCTAACTCATGAGAAGCACAAAATACAACATACATAAATATATAATTTACACATTGATACAGATTCAATGAACACGTATAATGTAAATATAAGTTTATATTTAGTTTTTCTTTAAATTTGTTCACTATTTTATCATAGTTACATATTAAACATAGTTTGATTATCGCGACATATTTATATTATTTATTGCATATTCAAATCACACATCTCAGTAAGACATACCATGTGTTTATATTTACTCTATAAAATAAATTTTGTTACAGTTGTCAACTATATAAATATAAATATGTAATATATTATACAAAATAAAAAAATTTAACATAAAATAATAATCCTATCGCTGGTGGTGGGTTTTAGTTTGTTCATTACATGGAATAGTAGATCCTGACCCTAGTACAATGAAAAGTAGGTGTAGATATAAAAAAGAAATATGTATAAGCATAATAGTATATCATTGTTTGTACACTTTATTTTGAGTCATGGCATAAGTCTTAAGTTGAAGAAGGATAATAGTATAGTACTTAAAGGAACACACAACACAAATAAAAAAATTCTTTACATTTTTTTTAAATGTTAAATTATTGTAGTTATGGTTATATGAAATGAATTTGTGATGATACGATATAAGAAAAAAATATTACTTTAAGAGATATTAAGAGATGTAGAATAGCCGCGTGATGTCACTGGGCCGGAGTCATCGTAATTGCCTATCTTATACGTGTAAAAGTTCCTTGCTTCACACAACGATTTATCAACCTAAACATTTTCTTTTAAAATTTAATTTACATGTAAATATGTGGTTTTATGTGTTTAAGACGATGCAAGTATCAGAATTGCAATACGATGTTTAGTTTTTTAAATATTAAAAATCTTAAAAGAGATATTTTAGTTAATCCGCACGTCATGGCGAACGGCATGTGGCGTTCGAACAACAGGTCCGCCGTTTAACCAAAATGTCTCTTTTAAGATTTTTAATATTTAAAAAACTAAACATCGTATTTACATGTAAATTAAATTGCAAAAATAAAATGTTTAGGTTGATAAATCGTTGTGTGAAGCGAGGAATTTTTACACGTATAAGATAGGCAATCACGATGACTAAGGCCCAGTAACGCCACACGTCTTTTTTCAATTGCTCATAACTTATTGAATAATGTGAGTACAAACGTAAAACCTATACCATTATCCTTAGAATTGAACATTCTTTCAAATAAAAAAACTTATATTTTGTGTTGTGTGCTCCTTTAATGATAACAAGGAAACATATAATATATTATATTTATGATTATGATACAACAATAATACTTTAGTATACAGAACTATAGAAATATAATATTAAAATCAGTAAAACACTCTGGGTTATGATAATATGCATATTATCATAATCATTATTAGGAATCAGAATGACTGCCTAATCGAATATGAATAAAGGTTCTTTGCATTCAGTTCAGTGCTCACATGTGAACACACACATAAAATAACAAAAATAATACATAATTTGTAAAAATAGTACTTAATGGTCTAGGTTTAATTACTTCACGTAGGATAAATATTTTTTACCGACAGCTGTAGTAAATATAAGTCACGGTAAAAAAATTTATGGAAAGGATAATTTTACCAATCATCAATACAAAAATAAAATTGCGAGCTGAAAAAAAAGTATAAAAAGAATAATCTAGGAGACTATATATATGCAATGCTTATATTATAACTAGTCCATTTCATCTTGGCTCTGGAGTCACAGGTTACCAAATATATATAAAATAATATAATATGAAAATAACCAATTTTTAATCATTAATACTTAATAATTAGTAAATAATAAATATCATAATGAAACAATACATTTAATGTTAATTTGTCATGATTCTAAGTTGAATATAAAATGTTTAAATCATGTTTCATATTAACATTTAACATTTAAGTTAGTATTACATTACAAGTTACAATAGTTTTTTCAATACAATATAGTATTCGGACTCCTAGTTTCATAAAATAGTAACGGTTGCTAATGGCCAAGATGGACTAGACTTGTTATAAACACAGAAGCTAGTTAGACGGTTGCATTGCAGTACAAAACAAAAAAAATTCACAGTTTCTAAGAAGGCAAGCGTTAAGGTTTACATTTAGTCCTGCCGTCCATTAGCCGGCGCCATAGATCAAACTGCTCGTAATATTTTACCATGTGTAAAGAAATTACTCCTTGATCTTTTTTCTTTTTTTTTAAGTCCTTGTCCAATGCTGTATCACCCCAATACCATCGGAACCAACTAAAACCACTGCTCTCACTAGTACCAACAGTATCTGTGGGACTAAGACCATTGCACACGGCTCGATCCAATGCTCGGCCAGTAATTTTTTTATTTGCAAATTGATCATCATGGATGCGTCTCACCTTCACAATTATATCTGTTGTCTTCAGCCTTGCATTCTGACCACCATCAAGGTGACAATGGTCTTCAACCACTTTACCATCACTTGATTTTTGGTTATGATCGGCATTTGAAGACATTTTTTCTTTTTCTTTGAGCTCCCGGCGAGCCTGTCGCTCGGCTGCCCGGCGTGTAAGTCGCTCAGCTACTACTCCAGTCAAGTATACATCCTCCAGTTTCAAGTATGGCACGGTATTTTTGCTGATATATACACTTGATGTTGCTTTATCATCAGTAGCATCTAATGTCTGATTACCATCACCACAGTTTTTTCCTAAATATGTTTTAACTTCCGAATCTTCTTCATTCATATTTTTCTCGTTTTTCTGATAACCATCTTCGTCTTCATCATCAACCACATCAAAATCTTTGCCAAGTGCTGCCTCGTATAATGGACTAACTGCCGACCGAGTCATAAGGTATGCTGGCCCAGTGCAGAAATCAGGATACACTCGACCGGTATATTGAGTTCGGGAAACATAATATTTACTATTATGCTGTCTAATCGGACGCCAACCATGTGCCAGCCGTCCCCAAATGGTAGGCGGCAGTTCAATATCAAAACTAGGGGTGGCTGCAGACTCAAACATATCTGCGCCTAGGGTGAATAATTCGTATGGGTCATGTATGGGTTCAAGGGGGCGAGGATGAAATCCACTAACACTGGATTCTGTAACAGTTTCAGTTTCCACTTTGTTGATGAATCGCAGTAATCTACGTACATCAATGAACATGTCGTCGTCTGTTTTTAATAGGTACCGAGCCCAAGGACAATATTGACGGGTCCATTCGAGAGCAGAGATAGATTTCAGGGTCAAGTTGGTATAAGTGTCTCGAGACTGGCACTGTACCAAGTCACCATACCGACCATATTCGCGCCCTAATACTCGTTGCACCGCCCGTTCTGCTTCATTAAGTCCATGCATAGCATATGCATCTAAGCCTTCCCCAGGGTTTGGTTCACGGTCATGCAAAAATTGGTTCATTTCAGGATCACCATCCAGTGGTTCTACGACTATGTTGGCAGCTGCTGATGGCTTGAGTTTGATTTTTTCTTTCGGTTTGATGTTTTTATTGATATCATGCTGATTTAGACGGATCTTAAGCGCTTGTTCTTCCGCCTCCAGCACTCGAGCAACTGGGTCTGTCTCAGACATCTGTGGAGTACCTACTAGGAATGCCATACTCACACTAGGACCATATCGGTTCATCCATGTCATACGAATAGCTTGTCGGTTTTGAGAGTGAGCTGGAGCCGCAGCTGAAGTGATCAACACTAGTAATCGAGTGCTGGTGGAACAGAGGCCAGCGTTCCGTATCCGAAATCCAGGTTCGTACATATCAGCGGCTGTCACAATACCACCAGGTGGTTTTAGTTTTAGCTGTTTTTTCCGCCGCTTCTTACCATTGTTACTACCACAATCTAGGTTTGTGTGTGTGTTTCCGCCAGTCATCGTTGCTATGTCTGCAATTGCATCTTGTTGTACTCCGATTATCAAATCACTGTTTCCTGAAAACAATGAATCATGAAATAATAATTGTATTAAGATATAATATTAGCATTAAAATTGCTTGCGAGGAGTACATAAGAAACTAACATGTTAATGTGTAACCTTCGGTTTTGCACGATCGCAGTTTATATGAGTTAAATAATTATTGTGTTCACGTGTCATGTCAATAGTAACATAACCAAATTTATTTGTTTAATAATAAAGTATAATATTTTAATCTAATATAACTAGATCAGAAATAAAACAAATCAAGTATCAAAAACTTGTAAGATGAATATGTCATATATTCAAATTGTTACAATATTGAGAAAAATATGCTGCTCTATGTTGATACATAAGATTATAGTAAAAACATTAATTTTATATTTAATAATTATTATTTATTTTATTTTTTATTATAGATTAAAAGATTAGTATTTGAACTGTACTCTTAAGAATTAAAATAATACATTTATATATATTTAAGAAAAACTATTAATTGATCTATAAAGTTCAAAGTCAATCCTCAAAAATATTTAACAATTCATCTTCTGTACTATTTTATTATAGAATGTAAGTACCTAATGATTGTTGGCTATATGCAACAGGTGTCCCAGTGCCACCTGTACTGCCACCAGTTCCATATAGACAGTATAGGGCACCCATGATGAATAGAAGAGCTGTAGTGACAGCAGCTTTAAAGCCACCACCATTACTATTGGCTGTTCTAGTTAGCTTCCTAATATAACAGCCAGCAACTATATTAGGGTTATATCGATTACAACCACAAAGTGACACTCCAGACAGGGCGTTAGAAACGCAACGCCGCGCCGCCGTAAACATAACAATGTTGATGATTAATTTGGTTTACTAAAAAATGTAGTCTTTTATCACTGAAACAGATAAATTTTATAAAATAAATTTTTATTGTGTATTATTGATCACAATTACAAAAATATCTTAGTAACATTTAATTAAATGTACCTATGTATAATTAGTTAAAGTATTTAATTGAATCAATAAAAAATTTAGCAAATGGAGTACTTGAATGTACTTAACTAAATATATATATTGATAGTTTTGAGTGTTGAAATTTTACCAAAGGTAATCTACACTGTAAAAAATGTTGTTAAATTTCAATTAACGACGCAATGTAAATTTACACAGAATATGTATGTTAATTAATTTTGCATGTAAAAGTAAGTAAATTTGTCATGAATATTTAAGTAAATAATGTTCACATACATTTCTGTGTAAATTTCAACCGAAAATGTTTTGTAAATAAACAATAAACCATGGTTTTCAAACTAAATTCATTTTATGTGTAAAATGTTAGTCAATTTATTTATCACAATCACATATGTAAATTTTGTTTGTATACATTTGTGTGCACATTTCAACTACGATTGCCTTTAAATATACAAATGTTATCAAAGTAAATTAAATTGTACATCAAAATATTGGTATATTTGTACTAGTCACATAAGTAAATAAAGTTTATAAACACATCTGTGTATGTTTTAATTTCTGATATCAATGCCACGCATAAGTGCTATTTGAGGGAGGGCTCAGCAATACAATATACATAATACAAAATTGCTAAATTTAATTATATTTCATCTATGGGTTAATTATCCATCAGTGACTATTAAGAATATTCATTAGAAAATAATAATTCATTAATACATATTACATTTATTTGTTTAATTGATTTTTTTATGTAATTTTTTTTAAATATGTTAGGAGTCTCCATGCATAGATTCATATCAAAACATTTAGTGCCTTATAGATGGTAATTTAGTCTTTATAGACATCAAATAGTAGTACCTACCTAATATTTTACATTTATTCAGTTTCATGAAACTACCCATTAAACATTATATAGGTAAACTTTGTAGTTTGTATGCAAGTAGGTACCTATGCGGTTATCAGTGTTGGGTAGTATTACAAGGGGAAAAACATATGTATTTTGGTCACTCAAACAAAAATATGATGATATTCTACCTGGAAAAAAATTAAATTTTTGGTTACTGTGCTTAAGAATAGTGTAGAAAAACGTTTTAATAAACAGCTCAGTGATCCATTTTTATTGTCTGCTACACTTTCACATCCATATTTCAAAACAGCTTGGTTTAACAATAGTGATAAAGAAGATACAGCTTTTCATTGTTTAAGCAATCTTGCTTGGAAATGTCTGAACAACAACATTTATCGGAATATGAATCATCACACAGTGACGATACAAATAATTTTTTTGATTGGTCAAAAAATAAATCAAAATTAACTCTACCTTTGGAACAGGAAATATCAAATTTTTTAACCAATAGTCCAGCTAAAGGTTTAGATTCTTTAATTGAAACTCCGACAATAAGAAAAGTATTTGTAAAGTTCAACACACCACTACCAAGCAGTGCAGCTGTAGAGTGTATCTTTAGTGTTGGTAGTGCCGTATTATCTAAAAAAAGAGGAAGAATGACAGAAGAAAACTTCGAAAAAACATTAATGCTAAAATGTAACAAACATTTAATTTGAAAATATATTAAAATTTTGTTTACTTTTTACATTCCTAATTAAGTATGTATTGTTTTTAACTGTGTCTATCCTGATGAAAGATGATATGTTTTGATAATATAGTTAACATTATTCATAGAAGATAATAATTGCAGATAATTATTATTATATAATATTGTAAATTATAAATTGTCATAGTTAAGTATACTATAATTTTAATTTACCAACAATATATTATATATTTAAATATTGTCCATAATTGTTGCCACACATTTTGTGTAAATTTACATAAACATTTTTTTACAGTGTATTGTGTGGGTCAGTTAAATTGGATATGGATAATGCAATGTCTCATTTTAAAATAATGAAACTAAACTGAAGCCTACAAAATTGAGTGACTTACAGTTCCCACTCATTTTTTGTTTTTGAACGAAAAAAAAAAAAATTTTAAATTGAACATAATATTAAGTTACATAGGTAATTAAATATTAAATAAAAAACTATACTTAGCGAGAAATTACATCTTATTTGCTATACTAGTCTTTAGGTGGGTAGTAAATGTAAAAATGAAATATTTTTTGTATAAAAATATATCTATATTAAGTAGATGTAGAAGTAATGCACCTCAGGAATTATTGTTTAAGCAGATTTAACGAACTATAAGTATTTAGAAATATTAAAAATTAAGAGTAATAAAGCACTCCTATACAATTTTCAATTATTTTACAAATCAATTACTATCATATTTATCTATCTTTTAACGCTCATTTGATTTCATTAATTACAGAGTTAGGAGCATACATGTAATTTTTAGTTTAAATTTGTGTAATGTGGCCAGAGACATAAACTATTAAATACAAATTAAGAAATCAAATAACTCTTTATGTGCACTAAAATTAGCATAAAAAGTACTAGTGTACTGGAGCACTGTGTCCTACATGTTACTATGCATGTACCAATTCTTATTAATATTTAATTTTATCACCAAGCAATTTTTTAAAAAATAATCTTATATTCTGTTAATTTTTTTTAATAACTTAATAATTCTCATAAATATAATACAACTTAAATACTAGTGTTACGTGTAGAGGTAACTTAGATCTAAAAATATATAAATTGATTTCCAACATTTTAACATTTAACACTAATTTATTGTTGTTCAGTATTTTTTCAATAGATTGTCAAAAATCTGTTGTATATTATTGTGTGATAATATCCTAAAAAAATATAATTACAACACTAAATAATATTGGGAAACTATGAAAAATAATTGTAAAAAGTTACCTCCTATCTGTACCAAATTAACAAGTTGAAACCAAAATTTGCATTTATAGAAAACTTACGTTACAATAAAAGTTGTTTTGTTGTATAATATTCTACTATTCAACAGTATACATTTAAGTTAGTAATATTGGTGATTATGTAAGATGAATGACATGGATAAGTATGAATGTGTCATTATTTTTAGAAATTAGAAGTGCCTAAATGTATGTATTAGTATATTATGAATATCTTTATTGTACTTATTACCTACTCTAAACAAGTAGTCACAATATAGGTACTTGGAATATTGATTAGGTAGGAGTTATTAGTGAGAATTAAGATAACACTTAAAGACAATTTATGTACAAAATTTAACTAGCAAATATAATATTAAGATATTAAATGTATTCATGATATAATGATTTTGAGATGAACAGGCATCATATAATTTTAGTTTTTTAATAAAAAGGTTCAGTTATTAATTTTTAATTAATTATTCAGGGAGTTAAATATTGACAACCAGAGTTTGGATTTACATATAAATAAAAACATATTTTGATCTAACATGATAAATTTGTTTCACGTATTTTCAATTAAAAAATTTTATTTTATTTTACAAATTTTGACAATTTAGATTAATATTTACTGTTATTCTTATTATTTGTCAACTTATTTCTAGAAATCATTTTATCAAAGGTAATTCAGGGAAGGATTTCTTTAAGTATTTAATTATTCTTTTAATTTTTAAAGTGCTTTCTGTACGTTACTGTTTTCAATGTCAGTAACACACCTAAAGCCGCCATACATAAAAAATAATTAAAAGATAGTAAATTACAAATTTTGAGATTCCATCACATATTTTGGTTATGCAAATGCATTAAAATCAGTGCTCAAAATGGAAAATTTTACAAATAAATACACATTAAATACAAACAATTGAAATATTCAATTAAAAGTTTATAATAATTTCCACAATGTTTTGTATTGCTTGTCCCTTATTTGTTCAGGTGTACGACTAGCAGTTAAATGTAGCATTTTTGATCATAATGTTGTTATTGAAATGAGACAAAGAAATGTTCAAATGTTGGGGAAATCAAGCAATGACATTACATTATTGAAATTTGCGATATTACAGTTGCAGTAGATCAACGACTGTGGACTGCATACTGTTCTTAGAAACAAAAAAAAGTCGTACTCAATATTATGCAATTCAATGAATATTTATGTAGGAAGGATTTGTACTTCTTAGTGTTTCGCAACAGTGGCTACCTAATTCAGCAGAAACTTATAGTACCTACGCCAACCAGTCTTATCCAAATTAGACAATTATTAGGTAATCTTATGATAATACCTAATATAGGTAAGTTAAGAGTTAAGACAGTTAAGTGTCTAAACGTGTAAGTATATTATCATCTACTCCTTTAAATTCCTATAAGATGTTAATTATACGAAAGTAGGTATTTTATTATGACCTAGGATTTATAATCGGTATAAATTCATCAAAGTTAGAAAGAAGTAGGCAACATAATTTTATTTTAGAAATACTTTTATTATTAAATATATGATTAGTATTAATTATTGTATAATTGTAAAGAACACAATAACAGTATATTAATATGGAACTAATAATTTAATAGTAAGTATTTACTGATTAATTAATTAATCTTTAAGGTAATATTTTTTGCATACTTGCAGTGTTTATAATACTAATGAAAATAATTGATCAAACGATTACGAAGTATTACATTTGTATTGTGTTGGGTAACTATACATAAGGAATAAAGATTATTATGTAATAAAATTATTTTAAGATATTGCAAACAGTGTTTAGTGTCCAAAATGAAGCAATATAATACTTGGACGTACAGTGTCAGTAATCAAACTGATGGAGACCTCAATGGAGAAGGTATGAATTGCTTATTCAATTTCAAATAATATGAAAATGCAATTCAGTGTTAAAATATAGCTATTATAAGAGCAGAGTTTATTAATTTTCAATATTTTTTGTTGTTATTGCAATACAACTGAAAAATGAACAACACGAGCAGAGACAATTGGACTTATATTTTATTATTTGTCGAAAAAGGAATTTAGATAATTTTAATCCCCTTGACTGTCATACTGTTGGAAACATCTTACCAAGTGGCAATTGTCATTATTTTTATTCAATGTTAAGGTACTTAATATTTTTATGAACTGGAACTCACTTCACTGTATGAGTAGTGACTGATCATTAGATTGTTTATGTAATTAAAGTATTACAGATAAACTACAGCTAAGATTCTTGGAAATCTGTTACGTACATGCGTGCAGTCATGGTGTCACAAGTGCCAAATTAATTTTCTTTTTTTTTTCAAAATTCACTTTTACTTAAGTGTTACTAAAAAAAAAAAAAAAACACACACAGACAAGAAGATTTCAAATATTTTTTCAAAAATAAAATTAGATTTTGGAAGTGGATAAATTTTTTTTCTTCCACTTATTGGTCTAATTAGTAATTACATGAAAAACGACCCACTTTCAACAGCCATTAAGGTGCTTTAAAGTTCTTTAAATCAAATTGCTTAAATATTAAACTAGAACACAAGGTAATAAAATGTATACCTATTTTATCCATTGGGAAAGAGTATATATACCAATGAATACAAAATGGTTTAATTTAATTTAAATTTAAGATGATTATTTTAATGAACATTATAATGACAAAACATTAGTTGGGTTTTTAATTTAAGATAATAATTTAAAAATACCTACTTTAGGTTATCTAACTTTAGTTAAGACATGAGTGTTAGCATTTTGGCAGTGAAAATACTTTGAATACCATTTAAGGAAACAGTTTAATGTTTAGAAATTAAATAATCAATAAGAAAATTATTAGTACACTTTTTACAGCCAGTGCCTTGCTGTTATGTAGGTGCACACATCATATTTATATAATTAATACACCTGGACAGTAATGTTACCTGCTCAAGTGCAGTAATATCCAGAATATAATTGACCGTTCATCCACTGCCGGCGTTCAACGGATGGAATTGAACGGGGACCAAGCAGTATGCGCAATCACACCAGAGAGAAAGAAGGTTAGTCCACGTTAAGTCACGAAGCCGATGTCGACGTCAAAGCCGACACCGCCGCCGCGCCGCACAACCCCTGGGTCTGTTTATCGTTGAGATCGCGCCTCGGTCCACTCTTGGCCGTCACCGACGAATGAGATGTTTGACGACCACTGGCTCAGACAATCGCGGCAACCATCGTCTACAGGCCAGTAGCAGGTTACGCGGAGAACGTGCGCGTTTGCTACGAGCGACTTACTAGCAGACTAAAGCTTTGAGAAGACTACACACGTTTGCCTTGAACCAGCGATGTCGACGTCATGCGACTGTCACTTCTTCCGCCACCGTTATTTCACTAGACGGACGAGCTCGACACTCGGAAACGGAACGACCGGGCCATTAACGCGCGCGGCGACGACAAACAAACGAACGATCTTCAAAAATATCACAAAAATTACTGTCGTCGTAGGCTGTTGTTTTTGTCGTACTGTTCACATGACCATTGTCGACACGATGGACGACAGTCCTACCGATTGGCTACTACCGACGACCCTCCGTCATCAATGGACATTGTTGATGACTGCTGCACGGCAAACGGGTTACGTCCTAACGGTGCGCTAGGCTGACGGCCCGATCGTGTGGCAGTCGTGCGATGGTGTGTGTCGTGTGTGACCGTGAAGTCCGGAGAGCGAGCTTGCGCGTGCGTCCGTGCGTGCGCCGCTTCTACGTAAACGTGATACGATGATAGCACGAGTGTCGGGGACTACAATAATAATAACAACTCGTCGCGATCACAGACCAGCCAGTGATAGCGGCGGCGTCGTCGGTGTCGGCACCGTGGGGTAACTGTGTAGTAGAGGTGCCGTCCCGGCTTGTCGAGACCGACGTGTAACCGAATTGTAGCCAAAAACAAATTAATAATAATAATGTAATTTGTAATATGTCTCTATCGCGGTCGGCACGCTGGCCGGGGCCGCAGCAATATTGTGTTTCCCGGCTCGCTTGGCCGCCGCAAAAGCGTTCCCACCATTATTTACATATTTATCGTGTACACATATAATTGAGCCCCACGCCGCACGGTGAGTTATCGCTACGCTTGCCGCTGATAACGGGCGCGGTGATAAGCGGACAATCACACCGCTTATCGCTAACGCTCGACTGCCGCTTACACCGAGTCCACGTATACACAAGGCGCGCATGGGGGTACGAATCGCGACGTTCTAGTCCTCTAGTAAGAGTATATTTTTCTATGGTCTTCGCCTTAACGTAAGATAAGTAAGCCGCTGTCACTTGAGCTGGTGACGTTTAGTTTCTCGTGTTGTGTATTTATTAGATCGGGAGCGGGGAGTACTCGCTCGCCGGCCGGCCGTCATAGTTTACACGCCCTCGTTCGCGTCGACCATCTTCTCTCCGTCTTATTCTCTTCTCTCCACGAGGTGAATGTTTTCGTGTTCCGTTTTGCATCCCTGACCGCCCTGCCAAAGTCCGAGTACCAGCAGCAGTGATGAATACCTTGAAGGTCTTCGCCGAAACCACAATGGTCACACCAATCACCGCTACAGCGTCCACTGTCAAATAGTCACACTGTGCATGATTTTCTGCCGTTTTACCTCTACTTACATACAGGTTTGTAGTTCTATCGTGAATTTAAATGAATTTCACTGTATATATTTTCCTGAGCTTTTCTGTGTTCATTCAGATACATTTGTTTGCTGATTTTGAATAACTTGGAAGGTTGTTTTAATCAACAATTGACTATTGACACCTTAAACATCCTTAGTTTAGGTAGATATTGTTTCATTAATTTTAACTACCTAGTAGGTTCTTTTATATTGCAACCAGTTATACATGTACGCAAAGGGGTGTTTTGGGTGTCCAAATACCACATGAAATTGAGTTAGGTATAGCTAAAATTATCGTGTTTATTAAAAAATGAGTTATAATTTTCAATGAGAAATATGTTTCTGCGTACGTCCTTGCAATCAGTGGGACAGTGCTTAACATATTGTACTGATTTAATATTATTGATTAATTTATATATTTATTATGTTAAGCCTGTGCTTTCATAGTTTTTAATATTTAATGCTTCAACCAAATTCTGTAACTCACTCTACTAGCCTGTGAGCTCCTAAACAATTTTTTACCTACACTTACCTGATGGAGAATTTTAAAAAAATCACCTATTACTCCAAAAAAATGTGATGGTAGTACCTGCTTAGCAAGAAGTTTTAAGAGCCTAGAAACTACTAATTATTATCAGAGCTATTGAATAGGGGGCAGAGTATACACGATAAAATACTAAATCCATAGTACCTACATTTAAAATATATATATATTTACATTAAAATACAAAAAAATAATTACAACATATAGCATAATAATTCAATCCTCGATTCAATCCTACATATTTATTATTAAAAAAAAATTGAGTTGTGTTTAAACTATTCTTGCTAAAATTTTGTAATAGATATATCTAAAGATTTTATTATTTCAATTCCATTTATAAAATACAATTCATTAATTTGTATCATTTCCTTGTGTACCTATCATAAATATGCAATTGATTACTATTATAATTTAATTTACTTTTAGACTTACATATACTGAATGAAACTAAATTATTTTTAAACTAACAAAAAAAAAAAATGTTTGGTAAATAATCATAATACTCTGAGAGTTGCATTGGTAAATAAGTAAATAAGTATAAGTAGTTAAACAACATAAATGTATCTGTAGATTTATATTTTTGACATAAATATGAAATTAATGACCTATGATTTTACATTGTTTTTGCACAAAACATCATATGTTAATATTCAAACAAAACAAAACTTGATTTAACAAAATAAAAAAAAATCTTTTATCAAAGCATAGCAAAATAATAAATGAACTTTTTTCATAAAGCATACTATATTTACTTAAGCGATTATGTAGGCTCAGTTAATAATTAAAAAATTCAATTTTTAATTGTTCTATAATATTATAATATTGTACTAATCATATTCTTGTTATTTTTTTTTTAGATTGCTTATAAAGAAATTTGGAAAATCAACTTCATTTATCATCGGCAACTACTATTAGAACAACAATACTCTGCAGTCAGGATTAAACATATAACATCACTGCTTATTCTATTGTTACAATCTCAATAACTATTCAATACTTTTATTACACACTGACATTAAAAGTTTTAACCAACCAGCATCAACAGACACAACTTATTTACAAACATTGTGACTACATCAAAATCTAGAGATTATAGCCAGTGAATAATGATTCCACTATCGTCTTCAGCATCACAGAGAAAATCAAGTGTGGCAGCAAAAATGACAAGCGGGAGCTCCGCCGGTATGCCTTCACCGACTAGCCTCCTGACAAAGCTGAAAAGTGCTGTGCGTTCAGTTGTATCGGACTCGAATGCCCGCAACTTGATGGGCTTCCTGGTTCTAAACTTTGTGTTTGCTTTTGTGGAACTCGCATATGGCATGTGGACAAACAGCTTGGGCCTGATATCAGACTCGTTTCACATGTTCTTTGATTGTACTGGCCTAATAGCTGGGCTGGCTGCCCAAGTTGTCAGTCGATGGCCAGCGGACGATTCCTTCGCCTATGGTTATAAACGCGCTGAAGTTCTGGCCGGGTTTGTCAACGCACTGTTCTTGCTGTTCATAGCGTTTTTCATACTAACGGAAGCTGTGGAACGGGCCATCGAACCGCCCGAGGTGCACCACGACCGCCTGTTTGTGGTCAGCGTGCTGGGGCTGCTGGTCAACCTGGTCGGTATATACGTGTTCCAGCATGGAGGTAGCCACGGACACAGCCATGGTGGCTCAGGTGGCGGTCACGGACATAGCCACGGCGGTGGTCACGGGCACAGTCATGAAGGCGGTCATGGACACAGTCACGGTGGAGGTAACCACGCGCACGAAGACGACCCCTACAACCAGCACAACCAAGTGTCCATATCGATGGGCGGCGGTGCCGGTCATCAGCAGAACAACGCGTCAATTCCACCGGCTGGGACCGGCCAGAGTAGTCACAATCAGAACCACCTAATGAAAGGAGTTCTGCTGCATATCTTGGCCGACACACTGGGCAGCGTGGGCGTGGTCATCTCCGCGCTATTGATGCGAGCTTTCGGGTGGATGCGCGCCGACCCCGTGTGCTCGATATTCATAGCCGTCCTTGTGGCAGCCTCTGTGTGGGGCCTGCTTCGCGACTCAGCCCGCGTCCTCATGATGCGCACGCCCGTCGAGCTGGACGACGAGCGGCGCTTGCTGGATGCGTGCTACTCCCGACTGCACCGGTTCCATCCGGCTGTCATGGGCATCCAGGAACCACGGTTTTGGACGTTGTGCGCGGACGCCTACGCTGGCAGCATCAAGATCGAAGTACGGTCCGGACTCACGGGGATCGGGGGTGGTGGTCCAGGCACCAGCGATTATGCCGCGTCCTCGTCGCCGATGCAATTCGCCGGACAATCGAGCCTTCAGCCCGCTGATGCCGCCCGACTGTTGCACGACCGCGACCAGTTCGCCAACAGTCTGGTGCGATATGCGCAACAGGTATTCGGTGCCGTCGGTGTCCGAAACTTGTACGTGCAGATCGACTACGCGGGGGACGACATGATCCATAATCATACACATCACCATGTCAACGACGTGCAGCGGCCAAACAACTATGCAGCAGTCGGAAGTCTGCTCGATCAGCCGCAACAACAATTCCAAATGCACTATCAACAACAGCAGCAGCAGCAACAACAACCACAGCAACAGTACACCAATCCGCTGCTAATGATGTAATTTAATAACGGGTAGCTCCTCGCCACCGCCCACGTGAGTCAAAAGGATTACGGTCACCATCAACCTCCAAAATCTGTATGCTGGCAGTTTCAACTACGATGTAAAAAAAAAAAAAAAATCCTCCACATTTTAATTATACTACTACTATTTTTATTATGTTAAAGATGCCCATTATGTACCATCCTTGAAAGTGTTACATCAATTATTATACCGAAAATAAAAAATTTTATTTGTACATTATACATAAGAATTTATTTGTAGATTAATTATTATTGCATTGTTTCATATTTTGTTTCTACACTCAGATAATGATGAAGTGAATAATTTGAAAAACTGTTGACTTTCCAATGAAACAAGGAAACAATTGAACAGTGCGAAGACTATTATTTTAAATAATAAATATTATATTGTATTAATATATTTAAAAATGTTTGATATTGTCATTATATTCTCGTTTTTATTGGTATAAATGGCGTTAATGTCAATTTAAAATAATATCTATAGAATAATGTTTTTACGTGCTAGGAAATAAGTTTCAAATATAGTTTGTTACTAACACAGTCAATTGTCAGTAACAAATTATAAACAATATCACTGATTTTAATTACTATTGTTTATAATTGTGGGTTGGTTGCTTAGAATTTAATGCTCTTAAAAAAAACTAATTACCAAATAGGCATGCATTTATAAAAGTACATGCATGTATTGTTGCCTCTCTGTATTGTGAATAGTATTCTACTCTGGTTACAATAAAATAGTGTGTTGAAATTGCTAGTTAATAGTGGTGAAGAGGTATGATATTTTTATATAAAAATTAGACTAAAAATGTTTGTATTTTAAGTGAAATGTAATATGGCATTGTGGCAACCCTACAACACGCACCTACTGATGGACATGTTAGTCGGAAACTCGGAACTAGTAGTAACTGACTATAAACTAGCCATTCTTACACTCTAGTTAAGCTTAAGAATACTTTTCAAATGTATTCAGAATGTGTATTCAAATTCTTGGTGTAATTTGTATTTCAAATACATAAGTATTCGAATATTGTATTTAAAAGTATTTGAATATAAATACAAATACATTTTAAAAGTATTCAAAATACTTTACAAATAATGTTTTTAAATAGGTATATTGAATGTTTGTACGTTTATCACAAATGTATACCAACTTAAAATAATTAATAAATACCTACTTCCTTTAATTGGTTCAATAATTTAAAATGTCACATTCGATATAACAGCTATTGTATTGTCTAGTTAAATTTAGCTAGGTGGATACAAATTGTAGATATTGTGTCATCAAAATTAAAAATTCTTAGAAGCATAACATATTTTTAAAATTATAATGTACAAAATTAAAAACTGTTCATTGAAATACTACAATAAAAAATAAAAGTATTTAGTATTTTAGAATAAAATACAAAGAAAAAGTAATTAAATACTAAAATTTGAATACTTAGCAAGACTGTGGGTAGGTACAATCACCCATCAACCATGGTCACTGAAAAGTATTTTTAGAATACAATATATAATATTATGAATTATGATAGAACATTTATACTATAGCTGTCCCGCCCGACATTACCTGTGCAAAATATTTGTATTTTTAATAAATAAATTTGTAAAAAAATTTACAGATATTCCATATTTTTTCTGATTATAAATTATGTTTAATAATAATATAATACTCCAACCATTTAGATGAAAAAAAATCATGTGTGTTCGCCTCTACCCTACATTGCTACCTACCGGAGATGAAAAAAACAAATAAAACATCCTTAAAGTCTCAATCACTATAAATCTTTGGTATAATTTTTATTTAAAATAGTCCAGTAGTTTTTAAGTCTATTAACTGCGATTGAACCAACATCTTCGCCTGTGAAAACATATAATATATTATATAGCGCAACATGATTATCTTGATTCTTGGTTTTGGTATAGATACCTACTACCTACGTATCGGTTCACTGGTAAACCTCGCTATCTGAACTAATATGAACAAGATTGACAATTCGTCTGAGATGCTTAAAATTGGACATAGATTAGACTTGATATAAATCAAACGTGGTTCAAACTACTCTCTACATTTAGAAAGAATTAACTTTCCTCAAAATCGGCAAAGGGGAAGTCAGCGCAACATTTATTTTCACTCTCCGACCCACGCGCAACAAAGATAATGTGTGTATAGCAAAACTAACCTAGCATGTTACTTTTAATATTAGAGTGGATTCACCTATTTTTAAACTTAAAGCTAAGCACATTACATGTATCCACTTAGGTTGGCTTTTTTAAGGTATTTAAATTTTTTCACAACTTATAAGCATTTTTAAAGTGTGCCCAATCAAACTGTTGCTTTTTTTTTAATGAAACATTTTTCTTAAAGTTCAAATTTTAATAAAACATATCAAAATCTTGAAAATTTTCCATTTTTTTGTAAATTAAAAATTATGAAAGTTCAATTTTTTAGCTAAGAATTGAAAATGTATAACAAGTATTATCATAAATAGTTTATAATATACTGTAACCAAACATAATATGTAAACACAGTTATTTTGTAAAGACATGGTAAATTCAAATTTGGACAAAATTACATATTAAAACCAAGAATAACGATTTAAGTTATTTTATTTTAATTTAAAAATATTATTTGTGGGTAATTGATACTTTTAAAGTACATTATTTAATTTTATACAAATATATACACTATCAAATGTAATTTTTTTGGCAAAAATAAATTTAACCTACTGAAATACTAATACCTAATCATAAAATAAATTACTTTAATCACAATTATAGAAACAAATATATTTAGTGCAGACCGTCTTGCTCATGTTTTTCGGATACAATTGTTTTATATAATTGAATATGAATTTTCAAATTAACACAATGACTCTAGACACCTAATGTAGTGCAGAGTAATACCCCCTTCCCCCCTTTTTTTTTACCTTATCACCTGTACAAAAGTGCCCCTTAAAATACCCATGTAAACTAAATATTTCACCTAATAGGTGTGAGTTTAAAATTCTAAAAACATGGTAGGTTAGCATTAGTTACATTACAAGTAATTGCAATCAATAGTTATGAAAAATCAGTGTTTATCTGAATGGAATTGGGATAAAATATCCAAGTTCAAAACACCCGGCTAATAAAATAACCAATGTATAGGACCAAATATCCTAATAAAAAACAATTTTTTAAAAATCTATTTAAAAAGAGGACATTAATAAAAATTACATTATTTTTTAATTAGATATTTTTAGAATTAAATTAATGGGAAAAAAGAATTAGATATATTTTTAAATTTCAATAGCAAAAATGATACTCTAGCTTAGCTGTTCCCAAACTTTTACGACCACGGCACCCTTAAAAAATTGTTTGTGTTTCGCGGAACCCTAATGTTTAATCCAACCCAACTACAATTTTTGTAAATTAAAAAAGGAAAATCAATTCCTTAAACTCTCAAGTCCAAATAATATTTTAATGATACTGTTAATGACTTTTCATTATTAAACTTAGTTTAAAAAAAAATTTTCAATCAAACATTTTTTAAACAACAAACATTAAATAAACATAATTTTCTCAATATCTCATACATCTAACGGAACCCTTGACATTGTCCCACAGAACCCTAAGGTTCCGCGGAACACACTTTGGGAAACGCTGCTCTAGCTAACTAGAATTATTTTTAAGCTGGTTTTGTCCTATATAATATTTTAAAAAAAATTGTTCAGAACTTAAATATTTTATTATTATTAATTTGAACTAACTATATCTTTTTAAATATTATACAATATAGGTGACACAAGATAACTCAAGAAATAATTATTAATTCATGAAGTTTTGTATGCAAGTTTTGTATTATTTTATTGTTATATTATAAAATGTGATTTAAAAATGAACAATCTATCTAATTAAAATTATGATGTAATTTGTATTAATGTTCTCTTTTTTAAAACTTTTTTCTTGAATATTTCTACCTATGCATTGGTTATTTTATCCATGGGATATTTTTACTTTGATATTATTGTTCTAGATTCATTATAATATAATATATGAAATATTTTATTTATCCTGCTCATGAAAAGTATCCGTATCAGAGAACATAAATAATGAATTTATTTTTTTTTAAATTGTTTATTTTTAATATTTCATATAGACCGTAATTATTTCACATTTATTAAAATAACAACTAAGTTTTTTTTTACATAATTTGTATAACTTTTTATTGAATGATTAGGTACATTTTTTAAAAAATTTGAATTTACAAAGTTATTAATAAATAAAGAGAAGCATTTTGCCTCTTTTCTTTGAATACATAATAATACTTCAGTTACTTATGAACAAACCTAATATTAGTGCATCATGAATTGTAACTTTTATTGGGTTAATTCATAGATTATATAGTAGTGTAGAACTCCATGGGCTACTTATTCTTTAATCAATTTACAATAAAAATTTTTAGAAAAAGATATTAGGTAATAGTATTGTATAATATTAGTATGATTCAAAATTATATGTAATTTGTAATATTAGCATGGGTTATCTGTATATTATAAAATCTATGCCAATACTATTATGAATATGCTAAATTTAAAATATACAATCTGTATTCAATAATATTATTATTCAATGATGTATTAAGGGGTTCACAACACACTGTGTTGTGTTCTGTATACTTAACACATAGAAAACGTGGGAACAACATTTTGTTACCAATGTATTATATAAACAAAAACGACATGGTGAGTTGTGAACCCCTTGTATATATTATTTAACTATAAAATATTATAAATTGTCAATTACCACAATAACATAAAAAAAGGTAATAGTCATATAAAACGTTTAGTTCAATGTATTTAAAATAATACTCAAGGTCGAATAAAGTATAAACAGTATATTACACTTCTGCAATACAGAATATTTATATTTATATGATTTATAAATTTAGCACTCATATGATTTATTTATATTCAAATATTTATTATACTGTTTATTATTAAATGCATATATACTTTTATTGAATACTTTTTATATGGATATTAAAAGATTTTTCTCCCATATTATTAAATTAATGAGGCATTATTTTACATAATTTACCAAAAGATAAAATGTATATGATTTCCAAATATTTATTTTTATCTCATTTTAAACATTGAGTAACATTTTTAAGCTTAAGATAAACAATTATTTATTGTTTTAATAGTGCATTGTTTTTACAGTTATTATAAACACTATATCAAATAATATAATATGTTTAAAGTTGTATTATTAACGAATGTGATACATTCGTTCAGTTTAGACAATATTATACAATAATATGATAAAATTGAATATCAACATATGGTATGAAAATAATATATCAATTTTAGTAAAATATAAACATAATATCATATTGTTTTCCATATAAAAATTAATATATTTCTGATAAATATTAAAAATAATATATTATTAATATTGTAATGAGTAATGTGAAAAGTAATACACATTACTGCGAGTATATCAGTTAATATATTAAATTTAACAATGTTACATTTGTTTGTATTGTGATTGATAACATAAATCAGCACACGAAGTTTGTTTTTCTTAAATGTCATAATTTAATAATTACTACAAAAACGATTTTGGACATGAAGAATGATTGGAGAAAATAAAAAACAATTCTTAAAATACACTATAACAATATAATAAAATTAAGTGCATTGCGCGTTTTTTAATAAAAATAGATGTTTTACCCATAGTAGTAATATATTAAACAATAATAGTACAATAAATAAATAATAATATATAAAAAAAGTAATTGTAATATTATACATACCAAAGGTAATGGTATACACAAAAATAATACAAATAATATCTAATAAGTAAACAAGAATACATATTGTTACCAGAAATAAATAATACTAATAAGTAATAAGTAAATAATTAAGTAAGTGAATGATACATGGATATAAAATTACCGCACAATGTATGTAAGTAATGCACAAGGCGACAATGATAAACATATTGTTACTACATACACATAATAATGTTATAGCAATTAATTTAATAATATAAACAGGTACACGCACGAAAATAACCAGATAAATGGCCGAAATACACAACAAGTCGACTTGGGAGTTGTGTCTTGCACCTAATACAATAAATTATATAATGATAAAAAAAATAAGTAAAAAAAACAAATACATTTATGGATAATAGGCGATAACTACTACCACTAGTGAAAAACGGAGGATAAATACGCTGACTCACACAGTGGTAGTGGCTAGCAATTTAAGAAAAAAAAAATATGTACAATATTCAAATAGCAATTTTTTACAGATAATATTATGTCTGGTAAATAATATTATTGTAAAATAAATTATTTATATTAAATAATTACTATATTATTATCATTTACAATTTTTTTTTAAAGTTATGATATATGCGACCTACGCATGAGCGTGGTTTATTGTCTTTTTACAATCATTATTATTTAACTGTTCCAGTCTGAAGTTCAGCTGCGGGCGATCAAATCAAAAATAATTATGCACAAAAATTAATAATATTTAATCGCAATCGCTGCTGCTGTTAGAATATATAATCATTTTGTCGTCGCTACCACAGCTTCACTTTCATCCCCCGAGTCTTCGTCTGCATCTTCACAGTTATCTTGACTCTTTTGTTTTCTCAAACGTTGATGGGTGGCATTCAACTGACTTAGAGCTTCGTCTAACTGTTGCTGCAGGTCTTCTGTATAAGATGACCACCTTGACTCCTCGCGTTCCACGTGCTCATGTAACCGGCTCAGCATTTGTTCCTATACAAGTTTAAGAAATATTATTATGAGTATAAATATTGAGGTAAAATTATGAGATCTTTTATCAATTAGAAGAAATTCATATAGAATCTAATGTTATTATATTGAACTTTGATTAAGTATCTTCCCCAAGTCACAGATATTGTAACATGTAAAAAATAAAATCTAATATTTCTAATGTATCCCAAAGTATTGTGCATACTGTACAAACATACCGTATCAGCAATGACCTGCTTATAATGATTTATTCTGCTTTCTAGAACATGGTTATACATTGTAACATTTTCTATGTTTAAGCCATCAGTCATGGTTGTTTGCGGCATCTGACGAAACAGGAAAATTCAAGCATTTTTATTTAAAATATTACAAATGTAAGAAGCACATATTATATTTAAATCACCTTGTACGGTGCATTACACTCATATTCAAGCATAATATTATATACTTACCGCTGGTATGCCGATATGCCGTTGCTTCTCCTCAGATATTCGAAGTTGGAGCCTCTCGACTTCAGTTCGATGTTGTTCACGCAATTCCTCAATCACTGCTGCATCATGTTGGGTGAGACGACTTGCTATTTCTGCTGCAGCCTCGTACCCATTCCGTAACTCTTTCATCGCGGCCTCGTGCTCAGCTCGCAGACGTTTTGTCGTGGTGTCGAGTTCCGTACGCAGATCTTTGTTTTGCTTACACAAATCCTCGTTTTTTGCTAGGAGTTCTTGAACGGCTTTTTCGTGCTTAGTACGTAGATTTTCTTTTTCCTTATTTAGACTCTGCATAGCGATCTCGTGTTCTTTGACCATATTCTCATTTTTTATACGCATACCACGGACCTCATTCTGGTGCTCAGTACGCATATGATCTTTAAGATCACGCATGCTTTGCATAGTAGTTTCATGTCGTTTGCGCAGTACATCATTTTCATTACGTAATTTCTGGACCAAGATTTCGTGCTCAGCTTGTAAAGCTCCAACCCTTGCCTCGTGATCCGCTCGCAAACTTTGCATTGCAGATCGCTGGACAGTTTCATTTTCTGCACGCACGCCTTCGATTACGGTCTCATGCTCAGTCCAGAGATTCTTCATTGAAGTCTCGTGTTTTATGCGCAGGTTCTCGTTTTCATCGCGTAAGCCTCGAATTACAACCTCGTGGTCCTTGCGAAGATTCTCATTTTCCTCGCGTAGGACTCGAATTGTGGCCTCCTGCTCCTTGCGAAGTTTTTCGTTTTCCTCACGGAGATTCCGGAAAGCGGAGTCATCGGTGTCAGAGCGCTTTAGATTCTTGTTGTCCTCGCCAGAATCTTGGATAGCCGTCACATCTTTAATGTGTGTCGCTTCCACAACAGCCTTGTGAGCCACTTGCGAAGTCTGAGACACAGTCTGTTGCAGGGTCTCGAGTTCCATGCGCAATGCATTTACCACTGCATCATGCTTGGCCTGCAATGCTGCCAGCTGGATGTCTCGTTCCGCATTCAATGCTTTCACTGTCGCATCATGCTCTACTCGCAGCCGTTTCGTCATCGCTGTCTCGCGTTCTGCGGTACGCAAACGCTCGGCTACCGCACTGTTTTTGGCTCTTAAATTTTCGTTTTCTACACGCAGACGTTTTGTTGTCGTTTCATGTTCTGCACGCAAAACTTTAGACTCTTTGTCATGCTCGGCTCGTAATGTTTTCACCGAAGCGTCGTATTCGGCACGCAACCGTTTTTCTGTTCCGTCGACCTCAGCCTTGAAATCGTCATCTCGGCGACTCTGCTGAAAGGGTGGTTGTTTATCTGTCACAACCGCTGTCTTTGCTGATGTAGTTGACGCAGCAGTATTGTCGTTGATAGTAGGTGAAGCGATTTGCAGCGATGGCTTATCTCGTCGTCGTTGTTGCGGTTGCTGTTGCAGCAGCTGCTTATCACGACGCTGTTGTGGTTTCTCTTTTTGCGGTTGCTTCTCTGGTTGATGCTCCTTTTCTTGATTATGTTGCTTCTCTTGCCGCTGTTGCTTTTCTTGTCGCTGAGCTTCTTCTTGTTGTTTATCATGTCGCAGCTCTTTCTCGTGTTGAAGACGTCGACGTTCTAGTTTAGTTGAAACGGATATGACTACGTTATCCTCCCGCCGTTGATTCTGTTTTTTCTTATTTGAATCATTGTTGAGAACGGTGACAGAATTGGCACCACTGCTACCACTAGTCTACAATAAACAACAAAATATTTTATGATATTAAAGTGTCAATAGTACTTATAATTTAAATCTATTTTTTATATTTCTGCTGTTACTGTTGTGAGCAGCAATTGCATTCATAGTCACTATTGCTAAACTTAAAACTTATTAAATATAACATCAATAGTTAATTAAATGGAATGACAAAAAAAAACCCCCCACAAGATAGGTTTACGAAGAACATAATAATTCGATACTATTATACAATCATAATTAAAATCAATAACAAATATTCGTACTCAAAAACAATTTTTAAATAAGTTATTTATAAGTTGTAACAAACTAAAATGTTTGTGGTTTTTCAAACTGTATATTAATCCTTGAAAAAATGAGTTTTTAAATATCTTCAGGAAATTTGACTTGTAATAATTGGTACCTATGATAAGGTTTTTTATAAGATTTTAAGTTGTAATACATTGCAACTTAGTGTATGTATACGTAATACAACACATCTAAACATATTCTAAAAGTTATAAAACTTACAATTTAATACATATTTTAAAAAATTCAGGAGAATAATTTAATAAAAAACCTCCTGACCAATGAGTATTTTATTAAAATTAAAAATGGAATACATAATAATTAAATTATTATTAAAAGTTATAACTAAACATTTTGATATTCATAATTAAGGAATAATCTAATTTGTATCAAAAATCAATTTATTTGTACACTATACAGTACATACATTAAGTTAAAAAAGCTAATTTATATGTTTGATCGCACTAGTGTTACGGTTACCCCCCCTTCTCTTCTGTTTCTTAATAATTGATAAAAAGCTATTAAAAAAGAGAAACGAAATGTCACGATATAAATATTTTTATCAGAACTACCATTTGATTTGATTTAAATTTTTTTTATTATATTTTGAAATTTCAAGTAAACACCAATACAATATTCATTTTCGGGCGACTAAAATAACAATGAAAAATGATTTATAAAAAATATGTCTCCAAAAACTCAATTTATAGAGACAATTTAACAATATATCCACCAGTTATAAAAAATAATAATTAAATCAATTCAAACATTAACTACTTCTTTAATACAAAAATAAAATATTTCTTCAAGTTTCTTTTCAGTAGGAATATGCTTAAATGAGTTATTTTAATGTAATATTAATGGCCATATTACCCGTATAATAAATTGAATTCTCACAAAAATAACGATAAAAAAAACGTTGGAATTGATCAACTAATTAAATATTAATATGTATATATGTAATGGAATATTAATGGGTCGGTAAATGTGAATAAATATTTGGTCGAAAATCAAATCATACCAACAGTTTATGCAGAATATTAGGGAATTTATATTCACTTCAATATTTTACAACCTTTTTGTAAATACCTGCTATCTAAAGACACAATGCCAAAAAATATATACCTAGAGTCAACCAAACATCAATTGTTTCTTTGAATTATAAATAATTCAAATCCAGGTATTAGCATAAATAATTTTTCAAATATAAACTCGTAGGTATTATCACAAATTATCAAGCGACTGGAACTACTGAAAGATTGTATCCTCATTATAAACATATCAAACCGTTGAAAATGTATCAATTAATTAAATATTAATCTAATTGGAAGGAAAAATGTACAAAATATTTGGCCGAAATGAAAATCAAATTACCAACAGCTTATGCAGAAACTTAGGAGTTCGGATTTACGAACATATTTTAGAACATTTTTGTAAATACCCAATGTCAATAAAACTTATATTAAGCGTCTGCCAAATATCAATAATTTCATTAAATTATAAAAATAAAAAACTCGTAAGTATTATCAAAAATGATTGTGTCTGGATTAATGATTGCTTAAAAATAGTCATACATATAGGTAGGTAGTATTGTAATACCCATACCGCGCGTATGATTTAATGACGTGCCGCGGGCAAAATGAAAAATGTCAAAACAGATACAACAATAAAAGTATGTAAGTAAAACAATTAATATTCGGAACGACAAAAAAAAAATAGCAAAGGATATTATTCCCTAACAAAAATAGGGGTTGTATTACAATTTGGTTAAAAATAAAATCGAAATTTACTCATTAGCCATTATATAACTCATAAACCATTAGTCATTACGAACAGATCGGTTAGTAATAATTTATTTCCGCGAAGAAGCTATTTTCACACAGGACACGTCACACGTCATATTATTATAATAATGTCATAGAATATTTCTGTACCCATACATACACAAAATATTAGGTAGGTGCAGAGAAACTTATTAGTTACTACACACTAGTAATAACTCTAATAAGTCACGTATTACCATATTATACGGCATTGTCGCATTGATTGTAGGTAGACTTATCGGTGATCCGACTATGCCACATGTCGTATAATTTACATGCGAGTAACATAAAAACACCATCGTAAAAACTGATCTCACGAACTATTGGAAACGCATTGAAATTGTATACACGGTCGCAAATGAACACAATAATATTAAATTGTACCTATTGTACATATTTATGAAAATGAAATGTAGGCCCATAAAAGAATACTTTACCATTGTGATCCATTCGCCCTGATCTTCATCGTCGTTGTAAGCGACTGCAGAGTCGTCCACGACCAGGTGGTCCTCGTCGGCGTGCAGGCTGTGCGACGACCAGGACGACGAGCGGCGACGATGGTCGTCGTTCTCAGCGGTGGCTGCTGTCCCCGGCGCCAAGTTGTAATCGCCACTATTGGTCGAACTCTCGCCACCACTGCGGGACTGCTCCTGTTGCTGCCGTTGGCGCCTAGCCCGGCGGTTCCGCTCGTTGGAACGGTCTGCTCCGGCCGTGTGACTGTTGCCAGCGACCACAGCCGTAGTTTCCGACGCCTTGAATGCACCGCGATGACCGGCGGACGTAGTCGTAGCGTTGTCAGTGGCGGAAACGTCGCCGTCGTCCTTTTTCTTCTTCTTGTCGCCGTTTTTACTGTTCGAGGGATTGCCGGAACTGTTCCAACCAGTCGAACCTGTAGCACCAGCGGCCGCGGCGGTATTGGTGCTGGCGGACGCCTGCAGACGGATAGCGGCGTTTTTGCTGCTGTTATTTTTCTTCCTAGGTTGGACCGCGGCCGAAGTTGACTTTTTTTGCTTGGATGCCGGCGTGAAACCGTCGCCATCATTTCCGCGCTGGTGACGGGTCGACCTCCGCCGCCGCTCGGCAGACGACGCCGACGCTGCCCAACGCATCATGTAGAAAAACGCGCAGCTGAACGCCACGGTGACAAGCAGTGCCAGGGCCACTGCCCGCACGCCAGCTGCTTCAGTGGCGGCAGCCGCAGTCTCGACGAAATTGCTCATATTGTTCCTATACGTGCCCAACTGGTAGGGTGCAAAAAAAAATCAAATTATTATTATTATAAATTCCAAGTCTGTGCGTAAAATATCGTTATATAATATTATGGCGACGGGTGATCGCTAGTTCGCTACTGTCGTTACCACTGCCCACCCCCTAAAATGCACGACACGAACAGTAGCAGAAGTGGTGTCGGCGGTCGGCCGCCACGATCGTGATGACGACGACGGTCGTAAAGTATTGCAATATTGGTGGGTGAGTATTTAAAGGTATTGGTCGGTATTGAGAAGGTAACAATATAGAAATCTCGTACAATAATATAATATTATGGTGTGCTCACCGGTAAAGTCCGCAGCCCCGACGACGACGACAACCTAACGATTTATGCCCCGTCTGCTGCAGTGTCCGCCGTGATAAAACTAATGTACAGGTAGGCAGGTGGGTGAGTGCTGCTGCCGCCGCCGCCGCCCAAAAACTCGGAGCGATCAATTTCTGACGTGTCCTCCGGTAAAAGGTGCTGCGTGATGTACCGGTAGACGTGCCGGCCGTGGAAATGTGAAACGACGACGATCAACAACGCGCCGCGACACTACCGCTCGGTCGAACCATACGATGATACATCATTGTCATCAGACCTGCCTATAGGGCTGTAAGCGCGTACCGAACACGACGACGGCGATACGACTTCCAGAGCGCGTATGGTATGTACGACGTTCGTCGTACCGGTAGTGGCGGCCGGTCGCTGGATGTACGCCACTGGATTAGAACCGTCGTCACCGTCGGTGCGTTGCCGCGATGGTGACGTGGACACTGCCGGTACTCGGTAGTGGTGGTCTCGGTCGACGAAATCGTGTGGTGTCGGCGGCGGCGGCGCTGTTGTCGCCGTCGGCCTATCTGATATCTCGTGAGATAGTGGCGGACGTCCACCATAGAGTATTACTCTATGACGTCCACTCCGTACTCCCCCACGCGTGCGCCTGCGCTCCTGCGCGTCGTAGCACCGACCGAAACACGGTCACGGACGGACACTGGTTCGGTGCACTGTGGTTGCGTGGGTTGGAGACTGGGCGACAACTCCGACCGTCTACTACCTCCACTGTGTAGACACCGCCGCCGCCGCCGCCGCCGCCGCATTCCTCGACGGCGCCCGCTACGGGACCCCCCCCCCCCTGCTATTGGCGAAGACTCGTAGACCATAGTGTGCCGTGCCGCCGAACGCATTGTGACTTGTGACCATAAAACAAATAATAGGTAGATTGTGTCGCTTGTGACAATATTAACTTTTCGTGCGTGCGAGTATTGCGACGGCAACATAATAATAATAATAATAATAATAATAGTAATAATTACAATTATACACTATACAGTATAATATATTATTCGCACACGCACACGCGCATGTACAATATTCACTGTTCAGTACAATCGGTACACTCCTCGGTGCTAAACGTCGAATATTCGGCCCCTGTACGCGGATCGTGACAAAAACGGCGACAAGCGAACGAGCAGATAGCATTAGTGGATGGTTTGCATCGTATTCGTATCCTACCCGACACAAAAAGTGCGTATTCGATCGTCGTGTTGGTTTATAAGTGCATTATTATAATATAGTTTGTTGTATCGTATTTTATAATAAAGCCGTTAACGGAGATGGCTCTTGCGTCTGGCTCGCATTTGGTTTCCTATTTCTTGGGCGACTACACAGTGACAATGACTAATGATGCCGACGACTAAATGCTAATATGCCGATACTTCGGATGCTGAAAGCTACAACTCAGACATCAACGGCCACAATGTCTACAACCAGTATGATTATAAAACCAAGGCTACTACTGCTGCATTAGGGGCTTTTGACAAAAACTGAAAGGGATACACACAACAATGACTGCTATAGTAAAGTTGATCCGCCGAGGAATGGCGGCAACGACTGTTATGTTAGTGCTGATGCTGCTAATCACCACTGCGGCTGCATCTGTATTACCAAGTAATATATTAAATATAATTTATTTTCCTAATTGGTGCATAGGTAGTTGTTAATTATTTTGATTTTTTTCTTTTTAGTAGAAGGTACCAACTGTTTATTTTACACTCAAATCATTGATTTATTTAGGTCTTCTTCGAGTTCTTTAACCAACTAAATGCCATTAAAAGAATAAAATATGTTAAGTCACTTATACCTGATTATATTTATCTGTTTGTTGACATAAGTATTGCCTACTTTGGACAAATTTCATAAACATTGTATTATAATAAGATACTGGTTTAACCGAGGGTTTACCTATATATCCTACCAAATTCAGGCATCAGTCATTGATAACATCAACAACTTAGAAAAACCTAGAGCATTTATTTTTCCTCAAAGTTATTACTTCCTAAATCGTTGGTCGGAAACCTTTTTAACAATTCAGGTCATATTTTTTTTTCAACTTTTGATCGAGGGCTATTTTAACAAAAAAAATATTTTACATAGGTACCTATAACTAATAATTGTATTACTATTATATTTTATTATTTTGCATCAAATTATGAGTACTTTACAGAAAAAAAATATAAAATTGTAAATTAACTAAATTAATGTGATTTCTGTGCCTGTATAATTTATTTGTTAATTTATTGATATCAGTGTGAAAATTTGTCGTTAAGCATCATAAAACAGAGTGCAAATGTTTATCACTAAGGCTTGAAGTGTTTATTTTTTCTGTAATTCACAATCCAAAATATCTGCTTACATATACATATACATATATATATATATATATGTACTTGAAAATTGTCTGATTCCTGGGAATGTAGGTATTGGAAGGCAAACTAGATGATTCCCAAAAATAATTTTTTAGAACCTTGTCATTTTGAATTTCAACTATGACTTTCATATTTCATAAATTATTCTTGACATTATTCATATTCACTAGAAAAGGATTCTGGAATAATTGTATTTCTTTATTTTACTTATCAAAATCATGAAAATTGTCTTACAATTTTGTTTAATGATATTGATATATTTAGGTTTAATTAAATCCCACTGTAACGGTTTCACAAAAGATTCAATCGCAGATGTACAACACAAAAATTGATAAAACATTAGTTGATCCTAATGATTGTATTCCTTTTAATTTTACTTGAAAAGATTTAACATCAGTTTATATTTTATGTTCAACTTACTCAAAAATATTGTTTTTATCTATTAAAAAAGCCTAGACAAGAATCCATGATGTATCCTATAGTTTAGTAACAGTTTTATTTTTTTCATTCATTAACATTTTTATTTCCAATTTTAAATCGAAAAATCATTCAAGTTTTGTACCTATACTTAACCATTTAACGTCTGTAAAATATATAACGTCCTCGTGTTCTGATTCAATTTCATCCTAAAAATGTGAAATTTACGATAGCCAGCTCAAACCATTCTTTCAAATAAAATTTATTGAGGAAATTACAACACTCATAACTTCTTTCCACGCAAGAACTTAACAACACAATACTTCTTAGTGAATTATACATAAAAAATCATTGGAATTTCAGTATGGTTTTCTAATATTTTTTTCTTAATTCATCCTACCACACCCTTATTTGAACCTCTTATGTTTTTCCCACCATCTGTTGTTACACTTATTAATTATTTTCACTCTAATCCTAAATTGTTAAATGATTTATCTATACTTGTAAACAAATCTTTCTCTGTGTTAATCCCCTTTACCCTAGAAATATCGGCTAATTCTTTGGTAACATTAAAATTATCATTAATCCCTCAAATACAAATTAAAAGTTGTGAGTATTAATTTTTTCTATAAGTTGCTGCATTCAATATTTCCTCATTCTTCGGTTCTGTTTTTATTTAGGCAGATTTCATCAACAATAGCAAGCATTTTTTATTGTTGGAAATTGTCAGTAGGTATCAGTGAAGAGACGATCATTCTTTGATATAATTTGTGCAACTACATGTCTGTACTACTGAATTATTTTGATTATTTTGTTGTTTTTTTTTTAAATATTTTGTTGACTTTTTAACAAACATTTAATAAAACAATTCATTTTTCTTTTTCTTAAATCAACTATGATGTTTTCAAAAGTTGATTTATATTCATTATCATAATACTGTTTGATATAATGGCCACAAAAAATTGCTTTGCAGCTCAAGGCGTTCCACCTGTGTTAAATGTAAGAAACAGTCTTAGATACTAATGTTATCATTATTTTTTTTTTTTTTGAAAACTACCTGATGGCTTTTTTATTATAACGATCAATGATCTTTAACAATACATTTCAAAGGTATACATAAATATAAGATACTAATGAATAATATTTTGTAGATATATTAATCATAATTTTGTATCAGCTTAATTTGATAACATACAATGATTTCAAGATATTTAATTACCTATGTCCTACTTCTATACCTAACTAATTCAATTTTTAATTTAAATTAATTTTAGTTTATCTGAGAAATTAGTCATTTAACCAAGCAAATAATAAGCTAATACATCATCATGTTCATTTACTGGAAAGACATACATAATCATATCTCTATACAGTTAACATTCTAATTTATATAAATACTACCTACTGCAATTAGCATAGTAATATATTTAGTAATTTAGTAATAATTTTTAGCTATAGTTGATATTACCTCTACTATAGTTATCAACACCTAAAATAATTAATTATTTACTAGGTTCATAGCTTAAATGTATTATAGTATTGGTATTTATTTCTAAAATTATTTATACTTTAAACTTGACAATCTGGATAAACAAAATTCTTAACCTTTTTTTTTCTTTAATAAGTTATTAACTTAATCCTTACTTGATATATCACAGACATTATTACCTATTAGGTAATAGTATCTATTAGGTATTAGTACCTATTTTGCACATATATATTACGATGGAGCTAAAACGGTTTAGGGATCCATAACTTTGGATTTCCATCTGTATTACCAATTATAACTACCAATATAATTTTTAATCCGAACTCTTATATGTAATGAAATTATTTTAAAAAAATAGGTATTTCCATGGTCAAATGTTATTTTATGTCTAATAAAATTAAGCACTCAAATAATTTGTATGATTTCCATAGTATCAAGTAAAAACTCTGTTTAACTCTATTTTTCAGTTAAACATGGAGTTGAGTAAACATTTTTGAGTACTTACCTAAAGAACCTAAATGATAGTACTTACCTAAATAATCTATTAAGTATTTATTTGTTAAACTTTTTTATGTTTTCATTAAATGGTAAAAACCATAAATATGTGTAAGTGCTGAACCAATAACTAGGTAGTGCTTTACTCAGATTCTAAAATTAGAATTATTTTAACATTTATTACTTATCGAATGTTTATACAACAGAAATTTGATGTTTAGGATTTTGATACAATATTATAATTTTGTTTTTGTTACAATATTTTTATACTTAAAATAAAATTGTTTCAGAAATATTTTAAGACACAATTGTAGTACCTACTCAGTAAGTCATAACTTATATGTTTAAAATACACATAGTTTCATTCGAATGTCTATGGTGTTTGATACGCAATTATTTAGTAAAAGCTCTCTATAAATATTATGTTCCACCTTTTGTAAGTTGAGGTCAGCTCAAAATATATGATTTACATCAAATAATGTTATTGATAAATGTTGAAATATTAATAATAATGCACAATCTTGACGCGAATTCTCTAATAACAAGACGTTTTGTTCAGCATTTCATACGAGTTGTCTCGAGCGGAATTACTCGAAAACTGTAAAAAACAACTGTCATTGGTATACATTAGGGGACTACCGATAATTGTGATTGCGTTTATTAGCTGTCGATTTCTGTTTTTGTATGTCTTGGTGATGTTTATATGACTTTTCTTGTTATACAGGTGAACCGGTGGCCACCGCAGAAAAAGGACCGACTGGACAGCAGAAAAAACTCGGGGGAAATAGCATATCGTCTTTGGAACTGTACCACTCGATGGAGATGGGCGAACAGGAAAGACTTGAAAGCCTCGGCGGCAACGACGACGAGGACGATAGTGAAAAAGATAGCGGTGACTCGTTACTGTCCATGGCGGGCGGTGGTGACGACGACAATGACCAGGAGAATCTAACGGAGTTGCTGACTTGCGTGTCATGTTCAGGCAAGTTGCCTGCGCAGTGGGACGAGCGAAATTCTGATGTCGACGAACAGTCTTACTGTTTGTACGACGGTGTCCAGCCGCTGACGCAAGATGGTAACATGGATAAAGAACTTTACGTGTGTTCGGGGGCCGTGCGTGTGAGTATTTAATTCATTACTATATGATGTGTACCAAACTGTCCTCCAACCCATCCACTCCTTCGGGTCGACATAATGCAGCCTAGCTGTCTGTTACTGTGACATAGTGATTCCACGGGCAGGTACAATAATGCGGACTCCACTATAGCTTCCACTATTTTTTTCTCAATAGGACTTTTGTTGTGAGTTGTGACCAATTCATTACAGCATTTGAAACATCTGGTTAATTTTATCAGGTTCGATTCATGACTTAAAATATAACACCAGGATACTATCTAGAAAAAGATTTTTAAATTTTTCGGACGAATGTTAGTGGTCTTACTGTTTAATTCTAGAAATAATGTTATAACCTAGACATTAATTAGAATATGGGCACAAATGATACTTTAGTAAGACCGTTTTTATAATCTCCGCTTCAAGTATGTTAATTTAATCATACCATATTATACTACCTAATGGTAATTAAAGAAAGTAGAACATCGTTAATATCTAAACACTAAAAATTTGTATTGAAAAATGTCCAAAAAGTCGAATTGTTCTTAGAATCTAACTTTCTGATTATTGCGTGGAAATTTAAATTACCAAGATACCTACATATTTTCTTCATTTTTACATACATTTTTGATTATATAGTTGTCCCATTTATGGTTGTAATTATAATGTTGTAACACTTATTTTCCCATTATCATTTTATATAGTGTTATAAGACAAAAGTGCGTGAAGAGGATGGCATTGTGCGCATTAGTCGTGGGTGTATGGGTGGTGGTCATGGTGGCGGCCATCGACATTCAAGCCAAACCAATGCAGAACTGCATCCTTGCATGGGTGCTATTAGTAATGATTTGACAACAAAAAACAATGATACCTCAAAGCAACCTCGAACCTGGACGTCGTCGCATACTTTTTCATCCGCGTCTGCCGGCCAGCAACTGCCATCTACCTATGCAATCGAATGTTGCAACGGCCGTGATCGCTGCAACGATGGCCCGTTTCCATCATTATCGGGCGGTGGCTTATCAACGATCGACGACAACGGTTCTCTGCTTGCAGCTATGACTTGGTGGCGGTGGTCATCCATTTCCGTGGCGGCGTTACTGATCGCCGTCGTTATCGTTGCCACATTCACTTTGAAGAAGAGGAAACGGCGGAAGAGAAGCAAGAGCAGCAGCAGTAGAAGGAGTAAACGGCGAAATCGGAGTGCTCGCCACCACGATGAGGGCGACAGTGATGATAGTGATAAAAAGAGACCCCGACATTTGTCGCTTTCCTCAATGTCGTCGTCGTTGTCATCAGTGGTGTCATCGTCATCTTGTTGCGAAGGAAAGAAAAGAAGAGGTAGGAGGAAACAACACCACGTGACTGCTTTAACCATGGTCGACTTGCTCAAGGGCGTCGTGGTGACCAACGAGACGACAGCTGACAACGAAAATACTTACGGTAGTAGTAGCAACCGACCGTCCTACACAACAGAGTACTCACCCGCTGCTATGACTGAATCTACGGTCGATGATGATTTTTTGCCCCCACCGTATCAACGACGGAACGATAACCATCCAAAAGATGACTGGACCAGTGGCAGTGGGTACGGCTTGCCCCTGCTGGTTCAACGTACTTTAGCCAAGCAGATAGATCTCCGACAACTCGTTGGCAAGGGTCGCTATGGTGAGGTGTGGCGAGCCACTTACTGGAACGGCGGTCACGAGCAGGTTGCCGTCAAAATATTTTTATCGAAGGATGAACCGTCGTGGAAGCGAGAAACAGAAATCTACAGGTATATTTAGTCTGTTGATTTTCTTCTGTATAGAGGCTGGGTCCTGCTAGAAATTCGATCGCTCAAATCGATGTGAAATATAACGCACCGGGATGTTTGCACCATATCATTGACACAGTTTGTTATCCCGATGATGGTTAATTTTACACCGGTATTGATCATTAAATTTCTAGCTGATGTACACCGCTGAATATAACGTTCATATTAATTGTTTGATTCTTATTAAATTACAGCACGGTCCTGATGAGGCATGACAATATATTAGGCTTTATTGGTTCGGACATTATGACTTCACAGAACTCTTATACCACGCAGTTATTGCTTATTACTCACTATCATGAGCATGGATCATTGTACGATTTTCTGCAGACCCCTGCAGCCGTAGCTGCTAGTGCTACGTGCAATGGATATGACATCAACTCAATGGTCGCTGGGGGAGGTCGACCTCAGCAAATCGACAGCGACAGACCGCCGCTCACAGTGCGCCAAATGTTAAACGTACTGTACACTGTAGCCAACGGGCTGTGTCACTTACATACTGAAATCAACGGCACACAGGTAATATGCATGCTAGTTTTCTCATTAATATCAATCATCTGTGTTATATACACGTTATAACTTATAAATTATACATCACAGCATCCCATTTATACCATGTTTATTGACACTTGACAACCCTTATACTCCTCAAATGCCAGTGGAGACATGTTATCTTATCTAGATATTGATGTGATATTTAAATTTGTTTACATATGTATTAAATATTTGCATTATTTTATGAATAGGGTAACGTCAAACCAGTAATCGCTCACCGGGACATTAAGAGTAAAAACGTGCTGGTAAAATGCGCAAAAACAGGTGTGTGTTGTGTAGCTGATTTTGGAATGGCTGTCACTAGCTGGGATGCAATGCTTCCAATTCAAACAACGGCAGCCATGGGTGCTAACCAAAATACGAGAGTGGGCACAAAGCGGTACATGGCGCCAGAGGTGTTGGATGACAGGTGAGATAGGTTATAATATCATCGCTCATGCTGCAACACCACCTATCACAGTTTTCATGATTTTACAGTAGAGCCCTAAAACGTATTTTAAGTGTTTTTTCTTGTCAAAATGAAATATGTCAGGGTTTGTTTATACTTTTTTAATCAAAATTAATTTGTTTTCAACAAAAACTTCAAATTTTATGTCCATAATAATTTTTTCATGAGAGGTGTAATAATCATATTGAGATAGGCTGTTTTAGTAATAACATTATTTTTATTATTTATCTATTTCACTATTATTTATAGTCATGGTTATATAATATTCAATAATATAATTATGACTTGAATTTATTTTTTCTCCCAACTAAACATTATTAATTATAAAAATGATTTGAATATAACAACAAATTTTAAAGAACTCTGTTACTTGTGTATTATTATAATTACAAAAAGAATAAACATAATTATAGTTTCACTATGAGTTCTAATAAAATACAATATACTTTGTGGTTAGGTAAAACAAAAACATTAATAAAAATAAAACATGAATTATGAAATTTTATATTCTTATAAATTGTAGACTACTGCGCTCTATAGAAGACCCATTGATGATATTAGATCATCATCTAATTATGATAGTAATATATTGACAATAAGAAGGTTTAAAATAGTAAAATATAACATAATTAATTTAAATGTTGTAATGCAAAACATTCTAACTCTGAATTAAAAACGTAAAACAGAAGTATAGTCATAACTCATAAGGAATAGCATCACCTATCTCAATATAATGGTTTTATTAACAATGCCTATCCAGGATATTATCCCGTTGTAAAGTCACTGAGTTTTATCAATATATTAGTTGAAACCTTATTATTTAAATTACATGTATTATGTTTTCAGTGTATCCTCATCAGCCGCATTAGCATTGGCTTCTGCGTCCACTACGACAACGGCGGTGCCGTCAGTAGCCTCCTCTTCAACCTCCTCCACTGCCACCAATGATACACCAAAGTGTAGGTGCTGCAAAAAATATTGCCATGCTGACATTTACTCGTATGCACTCGTCATGTGGGAAGTCCTATCCAGAACGCTCATTGCACCTGATGTTGATGACGTTGGACACCTTAAACAACAACCAAATGAAAATCAACAACAACCCTGCACAGATAATAGATACAACCCATACATGTACCGAGCACCGTACCAAGATCGTGGTGTGGGCTGGGACCCCGGATTTGATGACATGCGTCGTGTTGTGTGCTCTACTGATTCTGAACAGAATCGTCCTGGTGTGGCACCTGAGTGGTGTGCAAACCCGGTAGGTTTTCTTTTCTTAAAATTTGTTCCATATATTCTTTTTGATTGAAATATGGTTCAAGCTGAGTCTTACCTATTTATCTATTACATTGATAATGATGTTTTTTTTTACTGTTTGTTTCATATAGATAACCAACGCTGTAGTAAGGGTAATGCAGCAATGCTGGTTTGGTAGACCTAGCTCCCGCCTAGATTCAATGCGTGTTAAGAAGACTCTAGCTAAGCTCATAGAGCAATATTCCTCCACAGAGACTGAACAGCAGCTTAAATCAGAGCCTGAACAGGTGACAATAATAACCACTACAACAACGAATCAGTTGTGATGTAATATACATAAATGTGAACAATGATTACTATTGACTTAAGTAATAATAACAGTGGCTGCAGGGAAAACTTTACAATAATCAAGCAAATGTATTGTATTTTCTCTTCTCTCTCCTCCACTTGTTTGTTCTTACAATGTTAATGATGTAAATTTTTTAATTACTATACCCTGTTATATATATTATGTACAATACAATTTTATAATAATTATAAAACTACTTAAGTATTTCTTTTTTTTTACAAATAATTTATTATTCAATTTTTTATTTAGCATACATTTTTTGATTTTAAGTAAAATACTTACGCACAAATAATGTATAATAACTATTTAAACATTCATTTAGAGTCAAATTAATTAAAAAGCTGAACCATTAATATACTTACATACAATAACACAAAAAATTAGTTTAATTAATATTTATAAATAAAAAAATATAAAAAATCGAAAACTTCATAAATATATTTATATACTTAATTACAGATTTTGGTAAAAGTTAAAAAGTATAAATATTAGTGATGCAGTATAATATTTTTTATTGTATGGATTTTGTTACACATAAATTGAAATCGTAATAATTAGTTGGTGTTTTTTTTTGCACCCTAAATCAAAAATGTTGAATACTTATTAATAACTATCTTATACTATACATATATGATTTTAAAAAAATCTTAATAAATATAATACAAATAATATAAGTGATAGTAAATAATATTTGGTTACTTATGTTGTGTGCGTAATCCCAAAGGCTCCAAAAGCCATAAGCTTTAGAGACAAATCAACAAGTACCAAATTGAACTATAGAATTATGTTTATTTAGCAGAAAATATAGTAATAGTATAATAGCGTGTGCGCGTGTGACGAGAAGTTGCTCAAGTCTCCGTGACTATGATACATCTGCCCAGGCTGTCCCACGGGCTCCCTTATAAGTGATGGCGGCTCCTTTGATGTAGCGGCGCGTGCAGCTTGTATGTGTGTGTGTTATCGGTTGTTGTTGTCAATTCTTAGAATAGCGACTCGCGTCCATGATTTCTAGTCGTGTACATATTCTATACTATATTGTTGCAATATTTATGCTAATGGAGTTTATGACCGTAATAACATTATGATATATTATATTATATTATATACTATGTTATATACTATGTTATTATATAGCGAATTGGCGCCTAGAGTGCCAAGGCCCGCAACACTTATATTTATTATAAAGTGTTTGGTATCTGACTAAACCGTTACACTTATTTTCTATCAAATATATATAGGCAGAATGTACAAATGCTAAAATAATTATTTTGATTTGTACTTTGTTTCATTAATTTCAGAAAATGTATTTTATGTCAATATCTATATCACTGGTAAGTTGTACATAAATGAAAACATAATCTCTCTTCATGCACCTTTTGGTTTTTGTTTAAACACAATAATTCTGGTGACTGTATAGGTGCCTTGTTAGTGTTGTTAGTGTAATACTAATCAAAAATAACATTAAATTGTAAATAAATACATAGTTTATTAATATTGGCCGAGAGAGGTTGTGTCAAATCAACTGTTACATCTTACCATCTAACACAACAAATATAATCTAACATAAAATTCAATACGTGGTTGTATGCCCAATCTGTGAGAACGCTCTGAGTATACATGCCAGCTGCTGTTGCCAACTTCCAGATGGGTGACCACTCAAGTTTTTTGCAACATAACCTTGCCACACATACACAAACACGTGATATAAGCTTTCAAACTAAAAACCTACTAAAAATATACAAAAAAAACCTTACTGTACCACCCCACATCCAATGACCAATAAAAAATTCATAGAAAAAAAAATTCAATGAAATAATGATTGGTTATGATGTTATATTAACTAATTATAATTTGTTTAAATTAAATCTATTGTTTGATTATACAGATCAATGTTTTTGTGTTCTAAGGATAGGTATGCATTTTCTAATGGTAATAAATAGATTTTCTTAATCATTTTATTAATTAAGTGTACAAATGTCTGTGGTTTCATAGTATTAACTATTAGATATTTAGAGATACTACCTGATCCCATAAAAGTGCCAACTTTATATGAGACTTGCTTGTAGTACTGCGAGTAGTATAATATTATCAAGTAGGCAATCCACCTGACGTGGATTGGGGAAATGGGGACCCAGCTTGATGCATGATAACAATCATTTATAAACAAAAACTTCTTTTGTAAACTTCAAAGTCCATGTTTGAGCAAATGATTAACAATTAGATGTGGTGGTAGGAGAGTGAAAAATAACCAAATATACAAATAAATGTCATTAAAATCGGTAGAGCCGTTCAGAGGAGTGCTACCAGTCTACCACAAACGCTATGACACTAGATTTGTATATACTAGATAACAAATTACCAAGCCTAATTTTCTAGTATAAATCATATTAAACAGCTCAACATGTATAGACATATTATTGGAAAAATTTTTGTTGAACTATTTCATGTTGAAAATAAAAGTCTGAACTTCACAATATAACATCAAATCTAAAATTAGTTTGGATGAAACTAAACAAAAACTTTCATAGAACTTAATATTTTGAAGCCATAAAATGTATAAAAACACCTTAATATAAGTTTGCAACTGCTAAAAAAGTAGCTTTTTGTTATATCCTATACCAAGACCAACTAAATATACAAAGAAAAATGTATAATTACCTATAAAAATTGTATTTCTAAAAATTTTTGTAGTAGAAACAAATGAAACAAACATGGTGTACAATATAATATAATAACAATTATATTAAGATCGAGAAACATATATAGAGTAAATAACTTAAACATAGATCCATGTAAATGAGAGAAGTTTCAAGAAACTAGAAAATACTATACATTTTTCGGGGGCGCTATATAGTCTATCCTACAAACTTCTATGTTAATGTAAAAGCCTTACAAACTAGCTGATTTTGTTGGGTTACAATGACTAATATGCCGTAGAAATGACACATTATTGTACTCTACATTGTGTCGGTTAATATAATTTTCATGAAATATTAAAATCAGATGAACAGAGGGCACGCCCACCAAGAAAAGTGAAGCCATGCAATGGTCAACAGAATGTGCTGATACATAAATTGTAAATGTTTTTACACAAAAATAGCTGTTTTCCCCAAATTAAAACGAAATGGTTTTGAAATTTGTAATATCGCCTAACTCACAGTTTATTGAGGAAAACCTATTGGTAATTTTATGTTATAAAAATATATATATATATATGATACATTGATACCTATATAATTTATGTGAGTTATGTCAGTGTACCTACTACCTATATATAATAATATGTAATGACTATGTCTACTAAATACGTACATATAATATAATATAACAACACAATATAAGAAGATAATTATAGATAGTATATAGAAACTATTCAGAAATGTTTTGATTTATATCAATTAAATTTACCAAAAAAATAAATTGAAAAATAAATAAACAACCTCTTTAAAGTAGGTATAAAAAGATGTCTTTTATAAATAATAATCTAACTTGAACATTATGAGGTTCTTTCAATGTTATTACCAGGAGTTACGGTAAGACTTTATAAATGTATCACTGTACAAATATGTACAAATACAACTGTTCAAATAAATGAAAAATATCACAAAAATTATATACGTTATTGTATGATAAATTTACAAATAATAAAATTGAACATTGTCACATTAAACAATAACACAAAATACGCAATATTGACAGTATAATATTTAACATTGAAATAAATTGATTAATATTTTTCATTACTATTTAAATAATGCAAATGTTCAAATGTCAGATACCTATATATGTACCTAAATCATTTATCATTATTCAATATTCGGTATAATAATAGGTACTTATTTCTTTGTGTCTAGTGCTTCAGGGTGTATTTATTTATTATGTTTAAAATTTTGCAGATGTTCGTGATTTTGTGAAATTTCATTTAAATTTGAACTTCAAAAGTTCAAACGCTTGTAAAAATTGCACATGAATTTTAAATATTTTTTAATTACTATACAAACAACTTACAGATACTCACAAATCCAGATACTTGGGATCTTGTACTAAATTTTCAAGCTTTTTGACTGAGCTTAATATTTTTATTAACACTGAAAATAAATACAAAATAACAAATGCCTGTATAATTTTTAATTGTTCAAATATTTAAAAAAAGGCACTAAGTATAGAAAATTGCAATTTATGTAAGAATAGTAGAATATTTCCAGTTTCTACGACAAATATTTTTTGAATAATAACTTAACAACAAAAATCAGCTGAGGATAAATCATTAATATGCATACGAATAGGTATCCAATTTCATCAACATATTTGAGTCTTCAGTCGAAGAGACTGCACTAAGTATACCTACACAATTATAGGAAAACGGAGAAGTGAACATACGCCGTAAGCCTACTTATACTCTTCACTTCAGTACTACACCAATACCACTACTGGTTATTAGTAAGTAACTAGTAGTTACTAAGTCATTATGTTCGTCGAGTATAGCGTATATTTTAGGTGTAGCTTATTGTGTGTTTAAATCAAAATAAATAATAATATACTAAAAAGTTTTGAGTACTCACGAGGCCACGAATAATATTTTTAAATTGCAACAAAATATCTAAAAGCGTTATTTTTGGTTTAATATGTAATTTCGTGAAATTTGAACTTAAAATAACCATAAAAGAAACTGAACTTACATTTTTTTTTTGATTTTTTGCTTACATAATTAAATACTCGTTTTACATTTTCAATCCTTAGCTGTAAAAATTGAACATTTGAATTTTTAACTACAAAATAATATGTAAATTTTTAGTTTGATAAATGTTATTAAAATTAGAACTTTAAATGCTATGAAAAAAATGTTGCCAGTGTATTTTTATCATTTGTAAATTGATATAGTAACAACGTGAAAGGAGTTTTGTATTCTTGTATACATCGTCAAACATTTTGACACAACGAATACAATTTTATTGACATAGGTATATAGAAAAAAACAAGTCAAAAAATTTGGAAAATTGCATACAGTGTAAAAACAATAAAACAAATATTTTGTGTCAACTTCAGGTATCTTTAGTTCTTCGTTTTTTAAACACCAAATAAGACAATCATATCATGAGAAATCGAGTGGTACCTATATCAAATGTTGTAAAAATGAGAACTTCAAACGCTCATAAAAACTGAATTTGACTTTCCTGTAATCCTGTAGACTTTTTT